TTTTGGTACATACAAAGGTATGATATGGGAAGGGCTTGTGTTGCTCGATATAACAATACGTTTATTGAAGGTGATGTTTCTTTTCTGAATGAAGCATAAAACGAAAGTGGGCCAGTCATCATGCTTTTGTTTATATACGGTATTGTTGCTTAGTGCGTTTACAGTCATTTAAACGCAACGGTTGTCGTATTGATTATGTAAAGGCAAATGTTAGTATACAATATTGTACGTCGACCACTTCACCGCATCAAGGGGGATAACTCTTGTGATCTTGATGGCACTTGAAGTGACACTGGTATTGCTTAGCTGTACATATATCATTAGGTCGCCGGATAGAAACGGGAACGGCCATACACTTCGATGAACTTTGGACATGGTTAGTGTAAGCTTGATGAAAAAATGTCGACATCGATCTAGAAGCTATATACACTTAAAAATGAAAAAGAAGAAATATTCTATTTGAAGGACTAAATTTGAAGTTCTAGTTTGTAAAATATCAAAACTCATTAGAAAGAACCTAAATGCTGTCGCGTATTTTATTTTTTCTAACTTCACACTTATCTAACACTTCAATTTATTTTCCAACTACTATGCATATTTTTACTTTATTTCTGTATCAGTCAAGTCATACTTATCAGCGTCCACTTGTTTTGATCGCCATCATTAAAATGGAACATTTGTATGTCAAACTGGATTAATTTTTTAGGTTAAAAACTCATATGCTATTTTTGGGTCATTCATTTTCAATCAAGATGTTCACTTAAAGCTTAATATTGTTATCTATTAATCTGTTATAAATAGCAAACACATCATGGAAATACCAACATGTCGGAATAATCATAAACCAAACTCAATAAAAACTATAGCAAACTATGAAAGTTTTACACGGAACCACGTGAGAGGACAAGGAGAATAAAACCAGGCATTCCGGCAGAGTAAACGTTTTTTGCTTCATTGACGACACTCGCCAAAATGTTAATTGGTCAATAATATGATAATGTCACGTTTTCAAACGAGGAACAAAGTATACAACAACTTAAAGAACAGGCAAACTAAGAAGCATCGAATACATCCAGCTCTTTATCTCTCAACTGCCTATCAACACCTTCGTGAATTTAACACATATTGCCAAATTGTGTATTTTGATACTGTTATCATGGGTGAATTAGTCTGATATACAAAATGTTCTAATGGCAAGCTTTTGCACCCGTCACCTCAAAACCATTCACTTGATCCCTTTAAAGCTTTGTACGAATAAGTTGAGATCTTTGCTTTATTTCTGTCACAATGTCAACCATTCATGATGAATCAGTAGTGAAAGACGGGATCTTTGTCAAAACATCAGATCTGACTCTAAGATCAAAATGTATATTTTCATCTTTATACCAACGGACGGGAGAGGATAATAATGTGACCTTTTACCTCCGCCAGTTTCGTAATGAAATAGTACTGTTTACACGCTTTATTGACGCTTCTTTGGTCTTACAAACGATGTGGCCTATGCTTGACTTAAATCAACATTGTTCTACAGTTAAATTCAATAACACATATGTATAATTAATGCATTCGTATTTGCCCATATGAAACTGATCATTTGTACGTCGTGTTAATACAGCGGTATATTTCGCATGATGCTTGAGAGAAGGCAGGCTAGAAAAAAATGTTTCATTGTAGTAATATAATAGTTCTTGATCAACCATTTTTATGTTTGAGTTTGATATGTCATTTAACCAGTCATATTGCAGAGATGTTCTCTGCTTGGTATTACCTTTATTGCTATTTATGGGAGTATAATTGCTGCTCTCAAATCCGCGGCTCATTAGTGTATTAAAAAAGATACATTGTAACAATGCCAACATTCCAATAACGCGACGGCTGAGTGCAATATGCACCGATTGACTTGTCAGTATATTTGCGTGTTGTTTAATTTTCAGGTGAGGTGTTGTTTATTGTAGTGATAATATTAAGCACAACGATATGATGTCGAACGTAAACACAAACGTGTCACTTAAATTCAACTTTTACTGGTCGCAATAAAATATAGAATATCTCAAACAACGTCGGCTTTAATGATCAGTGATGACGTCACATGACAAAGATAAGAATCGACATTAACATCTTCATTAAATTTCGTCAACTGCAACATCTAAATGGTATAAATGTGATACTAAATTTGTATCTCCAGAAAGGTAATTATTTAAACCATTCCGAAATTACAGTCCATCTGGTTCTTTTGAACGATTTGATTTAAAACGAACGTTTAAACAAGTGATGGGGCGAAGTTACGACAATATTTGCAAAGAAAATGAAGTATTTTTGAATATTTATTTTTGAAATTGTCAGGTGGACAATTTAATTAAAAATATTAGATTTATTCTGTGCATTTATGGCAACATTGCCTTCATTTCCATATAGGCTACAAGGTCGCAAGAAAAAAAAAATCATCGTTGTTAATGTTTCTCAATAGAAATGGAGCGCTTTTGTGTTACTCGCGTCTATGGCAACGGCATTAGCAGCACGAAAGGAGTTGTTTTCAGCAAGTGCCGTCTTCCGAAATATGCATGGAAATGTATGAATACTAGGTATGTTCTATAAATTAAACATTACAACAAAGTGCTGTTAAAATACATGGAATTGCTCTTGGGATGCCCACTCCCATAAAAGGAATGTAATTGTATCAACCAAGCACGAGTTGCTGGGCTCCGGTACAGGAAATTACTTTACCTAAGGCGTTGCTGTTGTTCAAAGTATAGCACATCTATTTATGCGAAAGTATTATACAATTTTAACTCAGTAACGAAAATTTAATATGAAATATGATGTTTATCCGTTAATGAATACTGTTGCATCGTACACATTTTGACGCCATGGAATTTAGCATTTGTTATGCGGAATATTTCGCATGAATATATTAATGAGTAAAATTAAGGTAGCAACTTTACCATACATTCGCCTTCAAAATAACGAACAATGATATATTAGGATAGTATAAAAATCACGGGATATGTAAATTTGTGTTTATTTACTATGATATGACCAGTTGTTTATCTACAACGAGTTACAGCTGCTCCCACATATATCTGTACATTATTTCCAACAGTTTTCCAAGGCAAATGAGTGTCAAGTTGTTTGACGTAAGAGAAAAGGTTGCATCGGTGTTAATGCTGCTCATTTCCAGGTCACGTGACCCATCGAAAGGTCAGTAACTGCGTTGAACAACGTATGCAGGCTTGTAATTGCCATATATCATAATAGGATACGCGGAATATATTAATTTGACAGAATAATAGATAAAATCCAAGTTTTGTGGAGATGACATTTGTTACTACATAATTGTGTACAGTGCATCAATAAGGCTCGTGCAAAGCACAAAAGATGCATTTTGATATATTGTTTAATGTGTGTAAAGCGGTTGATGGAGAAGTTGGGCTGCTGCCATGAATATGAGTGTCAAGTCAACATGTTTAAACATTAGACTCGATATACAAAATGTAGTGTGTAGGTCTCAACCATGTTCAACTCTCTGATATAATGATCAGATATAATAAACATATTAATCTTTGTAATTTTTTTAAGTTCATATTGTATGTTAATTTTATAAAATTTTGTAAAATATTTCTCATAATAATAAATGTTGGTTTTAAGAGCATTTACAACAAACATGAGTTAAAATGAAACAAATTGCTTCATGTTTAACTGATAAGGAAGATAAAGTCCTTATTGGTTGTTGGCTTGGTTTCCGCTTTTTCCTTAAAAACATTCAGCAGCTAGATTATGCCAGACCAATAAGGATGAGTTGATATCAAGTTATTCGAGAGGAATAACGTTCCTCTACTTATTTTGTTTCACAAAATTGTTTCAGGCAATGTATATTGAAAAATTATATTACAAACAGTTTCTGTTTCAACATAGTATGAATGTTGTTTTAATCTCCCTCCGACGAACCCAGAGCTATCCAGATGCACGTGTAGTAGATGTCTTCCTGTTGTAGAATTTTACTAAAGAATTAATTAACTTTAGATAGAATGTTTTACAATGCAGTCGATAACAATTTATATAACCTTAAGTGTATGAAATTAAGTACTGTAAATCACTTAAATTCCACTTCAATCGCGAATTCTAATCCCTCGATTTGATAATTCTTGATGATATCTCTCGGTTAACGATACCGGAGGTAATATATCTAATGATATAATTCGCGAATTTAAAGTTATTTCTAAATCACCATTCGTCAAGTCATGCATTCACGAAGTTGAAAAAAAATATTCGCGAAATCTATGTATTGTGTTATATATGAATGACTCAGACTTTTTATGTATGTCCTATTATACATATGTACTTGACGTTCTAAAATTGTCTGATATATATAGAGAGAGACTAAACAGCTACAAGATGCAATTTCATTCATTGTTTGTCTATAACTTATCTAACTCTCTGACCTTGTATTAAAAGGCGATAGAGCAGTAAGACGACAAACCAGTTCATACTGCCGAAACCTAGACAGTGGAATGTATATAATGACAGAATATTGCCCCTGTTGATAATCAGCAATTTTATCCCGGTACAATGTATTCTTTGCACCGTTAACGTATGCACATGTGGCACCAGTATATTTGAGCTTTTATATGCCGTACGAGTACATATTCATTCTGTAGCCACGCTGCCACCGTCCCATTGAACATTCATGTTTTTACCCCGTGCCGTTCTATCACAGGATGAGTCAATGGAGACGTGGTAAACAGTATTTGTATCGATTTCCTGGTGATGCTTCGGCTACACCAACAGTAGACTACAAACGTGGTATTAATTGTATCTGTGTAGAATTTACATTCCCTGAACCAGAAATGGCCCATTCGTCCCATGTTAGCCAATAGATCTGTTCATAATATGAATTACATGACGCGCGCGTGTTATTACGACTGATGATGGCACTAGTTTGACGCCATTTTGGATCGTGTTTGTCTTGGGAAAGTGTGGTGCGAGGGGAATCTAGGCAGAGGATGGCTGCAGCTTTTAAAGGGATGTGTTTGGTGTCGAGATGCTGCCTTACAGTTCTGATGATAACAGGTAACGTCAAGCGTAATGTACATAGTCATCTTAACAACAGGACGCTAAGATGTACACACTGTTGTATATATTGTACGTTTAGTTCGTTTAAACGTTTTTAAGTAGTATCAATATCACATTTATATTTATTAACATACTAACGTTCAATGGGTCATGCTTCATACCCATTTTTTTTTTATTTCTAGCTTAGGTTTCGATTGCTAACAAAGTGATCATATCAGTTAAAGAAATCACACTTTTATATCCATCAGGTTGCACTGCGAAATAGGAGTCCGCGTTATAGATCTAGAACATGACATGCATACTACATTGTTAGCTTATACAAGTCCGCTTACAGGTTCGAATTTTATTTTCCAAATTTAATTCGCCATTCGTGGAGTTATGTCCCACTGAACACCTTTCCAATAATCGAAAATAGGAAGGAGAAAGTGTCAGTAACCCTTCAGACTCTACGTCTCTCTCAACGATGGTGGAACAATCAAAAATCATATCAGCGTGTAGGCTGAAAATGGCTCGTTTGTAGTTTAGAAACCATTGTTGCTATACTGTCAGTAATAGACCTAGGTCTCCTAAGTTTTAATATCAATCGATCACACCGATAATATAACAAAATATTGAGTATGTGATATATATTCAGAGATAATTTCGTAATTTACATAACAATTTACCTTCTATCTCCTGAATTGGTATTGATTTCAATTAGCAAAAATATAGACATGAACGACAACAAATTATATAGAACATGTACTTTGGAAATCTTAAGGTTTTGTGATAAGAAATTGTTCACAAAGAAGCTATTACCGGATGATATATAACCGTCGACTTTGACTTGCTCACGAACCAACATCACATAAACATGGAATCACTCTTCAATATGCCCTTTTAATATCACTTGAGATCTATGACTTAGATTTTAACCAATGCTTACATAGACAAAATATCTTCACACATATCAGAATTTGAATGAAACATGTTTACATGTTGTTGCCAATATTCATATAACAGTGTTTAATGAATCTTCTCTTTTAAACGGAGGATTCGAACTATGTGTATGGTAATGCCTTAGTTAATTAGCATAAGAACAGTCTATGGCATGTTTGGGGTTATAAATATTCATAACCTACAATACATAAATAATTTAGTGGTGTTTATATTGGATAGTCCTATATTTATACCATGGTTTTGTTTTCTATTCTGATACCAAGACATCACACTGAGGAACAAAGTGGTGATTGTCTCATATGGCCCCTAGAGCTTTCCATAGCGATCGTTAGTTTACAGTTCAAACTACCAATCAACCGCTCTTGCATCATTGTCAATCTGTGGGTATTGTTGGTTCTGTCTACCACAGGCAAACTGGTTCAGCTTAGGTTGAGTATTTATCATAGGTAAAGCTGGTAGTATTAAATACAGGTAAACCTGGTAATGTCAGGTAAAGCTTGTTCGGTATGGGAAGAGCTTTCTGTGACTCTTTTAACATAAGGTAAAACTCCTTTTGTTCAGTATAGGTAGAACTCATTTTATTTAGTATCAGTGAAGCAGGTCTGATTCTGTTTAATAGACCTTCAACTGTTTAGTATAGGGAGACCTGTTATTGTTTAGTAGTATAGGGAGACCTGATATTGTTTAGTATCGGGAGACCTGATATTGTATAGTATAGGGAGACCTGATATTGTTTAGTATAGGGAGACCTGATATTGTTTAGTATAAGAAGACCTGTTATTGTTTAGTAGTATAGGGAGACCTGTTATTGTTTAGTAGTATAGGGAGACCTGATATTGTTTAGTATAGGGAGACCTGATATTGTTTAGTATAGGGAGACCTGATATTGTTTAGTATAGGGAGACCTGATATTGTTTAGTATAGGGAGACCTGATATTGTTTAGTATAGGGAGACCTGATATTGTTTAGTAAACTCAGAACACTGTTATTGTTTAGTAGTATAGGGAGACCTGGTATTGTTTAGTATAAGAAGACCTGATATTGTTTAGTATAGGGAGACCTGATATTGTTTAGTATAGGGAGACCTGGTATTGTTTAGTATAGGGAGACCTGATATTGTTTAGTATAGGGAGACCTGATATTGTTTAGTATAGGGAGACCTGATATTGTATAGTATAGGGAGACCTGATATTGTATAGTATAGGGAGACCTGATATTGTTTAGTATAGGGAGACCTGATATTGTATAGTATAGGGAGACCTGTTATTGTTTAGTATAGGGAGACCTGATATTGTATAGTATAGGGAGACCTGATATTGTTTAGTATAGGGAGACCTGATATTGTTTAGTATATGTGGAGCTGGTTTTGGTTGGTATATACAGTGGAGATTCAGTTTTAATTAAATTAAGACAGCTCAGTTTAGTATAGACACAGCTGTTATATTAACAATTATTTTCCAGTAAATGTTTCACCGGTCCGGTTTGAATAGAGGTGATTCAGTCTTGTATTGGAAAGCTCATTAAAAGTGTTATATAAATTTAGACAGTCCAGTTACGTATAGACATAGCTGGTATAATAGCAGTTATTTTCCACAATATGTTGCGCTGATCCGGTATTAAATATTACGATGCATTCTATACTCTTTACTTTTGAAAATGTTAACGCCTTACGGTATTCAGCTTACAAAGGCTGTTACATATTTTAGTTTCAGCTGTTCAAATATGTATGATGGCATATTCCCTAGAGTGCCGATAACCTGTTATGTATACCGTGTTATCCAGGATCTGCGACTGAACGGTGATGTAATGCTTCTTCGTGGATTATAGCATGGTTGTTTATGGTCTGACTTCCGTTATATGGTTTCATTGTGACAATTGCTCATATGGCCCAGAAGATCATTTTGATGAAAAAATTATAATGCACGGTTCTGGAAAGTTAAATCAATTTTGTAACCGTGTGATAGTATAGCTTTCAGAAATTTATCGAATGAGTCTGAAGGACATATTTAGTAAATAATGTCAATATCTCCATTCGACGGTCATAATATTGTTAGAATCTGTTCCCACTTGTCTCTGTAAGCATTGTAACACTTCCCCTGCTAATAATCAAGAGTCTGAAACACGTTCCGTGCTAACGATCACCCGAGTGCAACACTTTTCGTGCAAACGACCAAGAGCCTGTGGAAGCTTTGCATGTCAAAATAGATTTCTCTTAAACATGCTGGGAACAAAACAGTACAAATCGAACGCAGTAAAAATATATTGTAGACCGTTATGTTGTCCTAGCACGCATATGTTCTCCACCGACAGCAATTCATTGGCAAACGATTCATGAATGAAACTATGACACACATACTGAGGATACTCGGATTGAATAACCAGTGTTGATTGCTTACGAAGATTCCCAGCAAGTTAACTATCTTGGAAGAATCTTCAAAGTGTGTTCAGAAGGCGCTCGTTCATACAAGGCCATGGTTTTTGGCCCTGGTTGTCTTAACGTAACTTCGTTACATTTGCATTATGGGTATTTTATACAAGAATATCTTGTAACGTGTATTGTAAAACATCGCTTTATTGTATTATATTTTAGGGCATTATTAATCAATATCGTATCCATGATCTTCCACCTAATTTGTTCTTAACATTGTTGATACATCAACCTTTATTGTAATATATATTGCAGATAATGAAAGTTCTCGCCGCGGGATGTTATCCAATAACTTCAATTTAAATTCATTGTTATTCTTTAGATGAATGGTGATTTACAAAATTATCATTTTTGTGCGAGAAACAGTTTTATATATCATGTGTAGAAGTCGTTTTAACTATTTTCTTTAACATTACCAACGAAATTGCAGTTTAAATATTTCTTCTTGTAAGAATAATTCAGAATAAAACACATCTGACTCCATGCAAGCTGATTCATAGCTCATTTACTACAATCGATAGATAAGATGAAGTTAACATGTAAATATTCTTACGTTAGTAACGTTAGAATAGATCGAATCGCGTGCGATAGCGCGCCACACCACAAATTCACGAATTGTCTATGCACATTTGATGGAAATGGTTTCCAAAACTACCATATCGATTCCAATGCTGATGTTTGACTTCTACATGTAAAACTAGGTAACATGCTCGCTATATTCTGCTTCGATAGAACGATGATACGAATCGCTCTTACCAACCCACAAACAATACCTTCTCTTCAGAAACGTTCGAAGTGATATTTAGGACACTGTATACCAGGATAGTTTCGCCCGTGTACCATTACATAAGCCTCCTGTTTATTTCGCCCTCTGAGGTTTATATAAAAGGGTTATATGTGTGTAACAAATGTTCGCCCCCGTATTCAATTCGCACTCCCTGTTCATGGACGAAAAAGTGAAAACTAAACGGAGACGAAAATGCCCCGGTATACAGTTATATCAACCATTTTCTATAGTTAGATATCTTCGATATCTCAAGACTCATGGAGCATTCCTTATCGTTTCGGTGTTCAATCCACTTGTTCTTCTACACCATGATTCGTATATCTCTAAAAATAAAGAAGTAAATCGGTAACATAATATCTTGATATAATTAGGTATATGAGTAAATTAATTTAATGTGGATCAGACATATTGTGATCATTTGATAAACTTGAAATGTTCAATGACGTTGATTAATTATTCCTAGTATGGTTGTTGAAGGTGACTTAAAGGAGCCTTCTGCAGACGTTTTAAATTTTCTTAAAAGAGGAAAAGTAGAGAGACCAACATGTATATGCTGCCCCTACTCAACACTTAGAACTCTGATATTTTCCTTTCTCTTTGTTGCCCTTTATTTCTTTGCTATTTTCCGTCCTTGTTAGCAAACAACCTTCATTTCTTTGTTTACCTGATGTTTTCGGTGATCAACTTCAGCCCGATGTAATTCTAGATTTTCAATAAAAAAAGTTTGCGTTAGAGCATTGTTGATTTTTCCCAGTGAATACCATTCAGTTCAAGATTGAAGTATTCTATGGTTGACTGTATGGATGTATACTCTTCGATGTCCGAAATCGTTTGATTTATCCGTCAATCCTTTTCTGTGCATGGTGCGGACGTCCCCGGTAGTTACAATTGATAACACTTAACCCTAATGTTGACGGTCGCCGTGCACATCTTCTCAGGTGTCGGAAACAAAGACATATCCTATGGAGATTTGCTCCATTAAGCGAAGGCAAAATTGATTTTCGTTTTGTTCTCACTGTTTGTAGGACATAAAGGTTAAGATGCGATATTCTCTGTCAAGATTATACTCTGTCTATGCTTAACGACATCACGAAACGTTCCAATGCTTCTAGTACTTTAATAGCACTAATACTGTATATTCGTTTGAACACAATATCAATTTCAGACCATATCATGAACAGAAATGTCAATAAGACATATATATGTGCAATACTATGACTTTTGTTTGTATAATCATTTGAAACTGCTGACCCTGTACTAATTCGATTCGGGTTAGTCCAGGGTAAATATGCCTTAACAATGACTGCAGGTTTTAATTAAGTAGAGTATAAATGATGGCGTTAGATACCATGGGGTCATAGATAAATATAATGACACAATAGGTACAACATCATTAAGAATTGCCAATATACTAATGAAGTGTCATCTAAGTTTTATATAGGCATTCCCTGAATGGTGAAATACAACATTAACGTCAATTTCTATTGCCAACAAACTGAAACAACCATAATATTTTAGGATTTCTTTGTTAAAGGCTACCATGTTATCATGTCATAGCATGTGAATATCTTGTGACAACAATCCTATCACATTCAGTAGGGCAACACTGGTTGTTACCCGACTATATTTTAGGATATCACATCGCTTTTCTCCTGTTTCACATAGGATTTTTCTACACAGTGCAGGTTAGATTTTTGTTCTCTGAATGTGTCAATTTATACCCTCCTATATTCAGTATGCATAACCGACCTTGGTAATATCGGTATGACTTAGAAAGTAACTTACTTGAAAGACCCATATTCTTATTGATCACTGAACCCATGAGTATAAATTCATTCTTGTCTACAAAGAATATGGTTCCATATCTCTATCCTAAATTATGCAATGATGTACGTACTCCGTATTTCCATCAGAACATAGATGACTGTGAGAGTATGTCCCATTCCCTTTAGCTTTGTCTGGTGATAAGATAAGCGTTATTGAGGGCAGAACGCATGATCTCAAAATATTTTATTGATGGTAGGATATATATGGACTCCCTACGATACACCCATTAACGTCATGCTTATATTCATTTTCATACGTTAAAAATCGTCTTGAAGTGAAATATAACAACACATAATACATTTTTAGATTAAGATGTGTGGTTATTATTTTCCCTTGGTTTATTTTAAAAGAGAAGTCATGTGACTCTGCAGTTGTGTGATCACCTTTGTCCTATAGTTGTTTTATAGCCATATATCTAGAATAACTAAAGTTTACATTCAACCAGAGTGTTTCATTGTGTGAAACTTTGGTAATTGCAAACGTTATAAACATGCCACCAATGATGGTCATATAAAGTAGATATACACATTAAGTTGTATCATACTAATTGAAGTGGTGAGGAAAGGGGAAAATTTTACGTGGCTGCTCCCTTCAGATTGACGAAACCAAATTACATATATCATGTGGCTGGTTGTATCTTTAATATTAACCTGGTACCATTATAACGGAACCTGTTCGAACCCTAATGTTTTGGCATGCCATACACTTCATTTCTGTACTACAAATATTGAAGTGAGTACATGTACATCTGCCCGTTCACCCTGATTCAGAGACATAATCAGAATTATGAATTATGTATAAACATTCTTGTATTTTAAAAAATCTATGAACATGTCATATATCAAAATCGTGTATGATAATATTATCGTAACATTTTTGAATCACCAATTAAAACATGTGATAGATGTTTTTAGTTATTCATATTTAGTAAGCACAGCATATTCAGCTCAAGTCATTTAATATATATGTTTTACAGCTAAACGTTTACTTGGATCCATATTTTTATTAACTTAGCCCTGGGTATCCGCACATTTTTGCTGGTTATATTATCATGGCTTGTACATGTATAGAACTGAGTTCATGTGCCATCGTGTGTGATTATCTTTGATAGAATTTTGTACCTCAGAAACTGACAAGTCAAAATCATATATAACATTTATATATATATTATTATATTTAATGTTACAATGCTCTATCCAGGAAGACGTATTCGGCAATGTACGTGTAAATGAATATCGCCTCATCACGATGTGGTGAAGATTTTCCATTTATTTCGTTTTCTTTTAACAGTTTATTTAGGATAACACTAACTGCTTTGACAAAGTAGAATTTTTTGCTGCCAATCACAATAATTGCGCAAAAATGGGGTCACGTGAGATGTTTCTTGATTCTGTTAACTACATTTAGATATTATACATTATCAATCAAAGTATCACTTTAAAGTAACATACCTTACGTGACTGATCACATAATTAAAATGCTCAATCACGCGTAACAAATACTTTCTCTGACAAGTCCTAGAAACAGCCGTATGATACAATTTAATTCATTATATAGCTCTACTCTATCTAATTCTGTAGTTGTATTAAAGAGTGTTGTTCACTTGTGTGTTTTTTGTAAAAAAAAAATTCAAGTGTCTTGAAACGTATCAGGACATATTTGAGCGGCACCAGATTGTTAGTAGAGCTTTTTGGATTAATGTGAAACAATAACTTATTAAAATCCAAGATCGTTGTCAAAACCTTAAGGGAAGAGATTTATGAAAATTCTAAAACCTGTGTGTTTAACCATTAATGGATTAGCTATTGATATTTCACGGGAGTCGCGTTTAGAAACTTAACTGAAGCTTGACTACAAAGCCATAGCCCTTTTTGTGAGAAGACGTTGGTGTGAAGCTGTCTAAATAATTACCTTTTTTAAGTGTGGGAAATCCAGCTAATGTAATACCTTTATTTGATTTAAGAGTTATATTGAAAAATATTACTAATGGCTTCCTAAAAGCCATTGTCATGTATTTCTTGTAATGAATTACTCCGTAAACCGCTGATTAAACAAAGATTGAAACTTAACCTGATAAACAGCATGTGATTGTCATGTGATTCAAACACATACAGGGTTTAACCTTTGAGTCGGTCACGTGATCCCAGTCTGTACGTCTTTCTATCATGTAAATAGTTTAAACCAGACATGGTGTTTCCCATGCAATGGATAAAATCCATACTAATCATAGCTGTTGTACTGCTTTATGATTTAACATAGATAAACCTCTAGGCAAATATATAGCTGTTGTACTGCTTTATGATTTAACATAGATAAACCTCTAGGCAAATATATAGCTGTTGTACTGCTTTATGATTTTATATGGATAAAACTCGAGGCAAATATATAGCTGTTGTACTGCTTTATGATTTTATATAGATAAAACTCGAGGCAAATATATAGCTGTTGTACTGCTTTATGATTTTATATAGATAAAACTCGAGGCAAATATATAGCTGTTGTACTGCTTTATGATTTTATATAGATATACACCTGATGAAGCAGTAGACTCTTCTGACACATTTGATCGTATTCTTGTACGTTTCAGGAGACCCCGTGTAGCTCTTTATTTTGTTCATATTTTGCCCAACTTTATTGAATTTGAGTTTGGTTAATGATTATGTCGACATGATGGTTTTCTCTTTTTGGATATCACCTAGAATATCAAATATAGAAAAAACAATTTCAGCGTATTAAATATTCATATATTTTCCAGTTTGGATGGCGTCACTGTCTGTAACAGTCAACTCAGATCTAACCTATGCAAAGACCTTGACATTCGGTGATGACAAAGGGAATCACTTACTGGTCAGACGTGACGTCAGTCTCGCCGAGAATACAACAAAAGGGGACACCAACGGATATGACGTCAAAAACGACACAAAGAGTCAGTTAATGGAGAAATACAAAACGACCCAGTGGTATAAAGAAGATCCTGATTTCAGTAAGAGGCGTTTGTTACATTTCAGAAATATCAGACTCTGTGATATTGATGATGATATGTAATTACAGTATTTTTAATATGTTTTGTTCTGCTTCAGTCTTTTGATTTCATTCAATTATAATTGTTTTCATTCATTTGCATTTTTTTTCAATAAATGCTTTTTTAAAAGTCCATGCTTTCTTAATGGGAAAAATATATCGTATTATATATCGTGTCTATCTTTTACAATAGTTTGGATACTGACATTTGTATTGTAACTAAACCAGTTAATGCAGAAATATCTGAAAAATGTATAATATTTAATATATTTATTTTTTAAATGATAGTCGTTGATGAATACATTACGAAATATTTCATTCGCATTTTGTTATATAAAACGACACCTTGTTGTGCTCTTTGACATGTTAAATGAGTCACAGACAACCGCCATCATAGTAGATATGATAACAGCAGCGAGGGGTCTAATCCTTCAATCGAATGTCATTTCACTCGTAAAACACTTCGGAAATGTGTTAACCTTCACTTTGTATAAAGAGTAGAACTTTGGCATATCATCTTGATATCAATTTATTCCAGACGAAATCTCGTTTATACTGAATGTCTAATATGATAAAAAAAGGCCGTGTTATTCAGTGAACATGTCCATGTTTTCTTATGCATTCGTTCTTTGTAATGCACTATGACATTTGAGTCTGTTAATGAAGTGACGTTGCAGACTCGAAGATGTCATCACCAAAGTTAAGAACGAAAAATACTTCAAGAATGGCATTGAAACACGTTTTCCCATTTCATATAGAATTGTTAAATGTTGACGGTCGTATTCTAAAACGAGAATTCTAACATTTGTTTTGTTTTATAAGATATTTTAGTTGCAGTATGACGAACGTTTTCTCTTTATCTTGAGAGATTGCCATCGAGAGTTATGTCAATTCTTTTACTGTGTTGCAATTTTCGATTTTTCAATTTCTCATATATGTATTATATTTCTATATTTCTTATATTTTAGAGCCAACAATGTGCATTCATATCAATAAAACAGACAATAACACAATAGAGGGACATTTCCTTTGTCCGATGACGAATGAATCTCGGGAACAGACTAAATGTTGTGGGGAGCAAGACAAACAATTTTGTTGTAAGCCGGAAGTAAAAGGTGGACGAAAACCACCGGCACACGATGAAACAACGTACGTATCACAGATACCTCATGTAATGATAAAAAATGCTAATTTTTCAGCAATATGAGCTATAAATACAGAACATGATAAACTTCATCAATCACTTATTTATATTAACATCACAGAGGAAATTTCTGTGCTTTAGATAATTTTCATTAGGGAAGGTTGTTGGTGCCACAGTGAGATAGATGACGTCATAATAACGGTTATGTTGTCAAATAGTTTTGCATTTATACAATTGTACAAAACATTTTGCATTTTTTTTATTATTGGACTTGGAGGATGCTGAGCAATATATGTATATAATGTCCTAATGACAGGTTGATGTGACATAATTGACTAACCTAATTATACATGCGAAGTCCTCTTCAGGTGAGACAGGACCTTGTCCTCTTTTCACTAATTAAATATCCTCAAACCCTTGTATGCTAATTGTGTCACGTGTCGCATATTATCAGCTTATAAACATATAAGGTTCTAGTGTCACTGACAAAACAACTGTTTAATGATGTTTTATCAGTGTTTGGATATGCCGTAATTAACACTAACTGTATATTGTAATGTGTTTTGAACAATGCTTAAAACCTCCCCTAAAGCCACACAGAAAATATGATCTAGCAAGGTTTGTGTGTCAGTTGATAGCTTTGCATAATTACAGCCCGGATGGTGACGCAGTGGTTTCGCCTGTCACAAAGCAACCAGGTTCTGATTACTATAGTGGATGGGTAGGCGTGATACCACCTAACATAATTAAACTGGCGTACATTACGTCCAACTTCAAGATCTATAATGAAACCATAGTCAATTCGTATAAATAATAAGGAAATCACTGGCATACTATAAAATCGGGTATTTCACGAATCCCCAATTCTGTGGTTCTACAAAAATCTTTTCATTAGCAATTATGAATTGATTTTGTGGATTAATCATGTTCACGAAATAATCAATTATTATAATTCATGGCCAGTTTTATTTGTTTATCATTTCATGCATAGATAAATTCGAGCATTAAGTGTACTACGATTTCAACGAAAATAAAACTCCCAGGTGATACAAATAGTAGTTTTGTATATGTATCGATTAGTTTATATTTTGTTCTCGTGCACAGGTGCGCGCTGTATGAATACTATTTCGCTACAGATCCAAATGAATTATATTTTGAACGTTTTTCATCTTTTATCAAGTTGATTTTGATGCCGTTATCAGTCGCATGTCTTCGATTTATAATGCTATTTCCTGTTTTATGTATCAATAAAGCATGGGTCTACGGCATTTGTTTGTGTTTCAGAATGCTGCTGATGCTGATTCCACTCTTTCTGATCCCAATAAGCCTTTGTCTTGTACTGTACTGTTGCTGCTGCCAGCGTAGACCGGAAGTTCATTCAGGGAAATTAGTCTGGATACGAAAATCTAATAAAAAAGAAAGTGAGTAATGTTACTACAGGCATCACACGTTTCTTAAGACAGTCTCAAATCTTAAAGATCAACAAGTATGAGAGTATCTCTGGAATATCACGTAACCGGGTTTATTAATGTAAAGGTTGCTATTTTTGTATTTTTCGATATTTTTGAGGTTTTAATTAAAATTGCAAAATGTATCTATCTAGAAATTAAAATGACAAGAAAATGATAATCCAGATCGACCATTTCGTAAAACCAACATATTGGAATCGTCGGGAAAAAAAATTGCATAAGCCATTTAAAACATAATTATAGATGTTGCACTCTTGTTTGATAATATGGCATGTACATAGCCTCATTCAAAAAGATTGTACACAAAACACAAAATACAAATTAATAGTTAGAAGGAGTAGACCTGAACAATGATTTAGAATGTAGCATACACCTGCTTCGTCCTTCTAGTGAAAAGGCAGGTGAGGAAATCCAAAGTTTTCGAAAGGAATGTCAAAATCTCGATTGGGAGGTGCACTATGTCAGCATCAGTAATTATATAAGCGTTCATGGTAAAAATTTGATAATCATTTATCCATTCAAAACATTTGCAATCACTTTACTCAATCTTTTCTCACTGCAACAAGATATTTTTCAACCTGAACAATGAACAAAAATGACCATTGGTGCACTAAGTAATTGTAATGCTACACCCAAAATAAGAGAAAAAAAGGCCCCTAAATAACAAAATTACATTAAAAGATTACTTCGATTTCACAGATTTGTAACATGTGTAACAATCAAAATTCAATTTGACGTCTCTCAGCAAAAATGTCTTCCTGCAAACAATGAAACTTATAATCCAGTACCGAAAGAATATCCCTGATTGGCAACCTTGTTTCATGAAATTGATTGAAAAGTTCATGCTAGAGCATCACATCATCTTACCTTTAATTTTGTCCAAGATTGATTTCCACGCTTGCCTTCTGAATATCTACTAATTGTGTGTCAAACGTCACTGAACAGTCCTTTGAAGTACGAAACATTTGTATGAATAAATTTCATTATATACTTACTGAATAATTTTGCCTGTCTTTGGTATTTCGTTGCATTGTGTTTGTATCATTCCGTAGCTATTCAGTGACGATTTTATCGAATTATCATTGATTTATCCAGCCGTTGTATCCCCTAATCAGACCATAATTGTCAATCAAACATCCCTAAAGCGCAATCTTATAGAATCATGACTGACTTTGTAAGATGAATTACAATTTGTTCAGCATAGCTTTCCTGTATTTCTTTACAGGTTGATCGTATTCATTCCTTGTTATTTCAACATACATTAGAATGTTCTGTTGGTAATCAAAAACCACGATCAATAGGACATTTTGTACCAAGCATTCATTTTCTACCTATGGAAGAAATAAATATGCTTTTTATAATTGTCGTTTTCATCTTACCACATGGCCTCACAACTCTAAGGAAATGTAAGCAAACTTACATCAAATTGTATTTTTTTTTCAAATAATGTCGGTAGTGCCTGCTCTTTTCATCAGTGAAAAAAGGTGCAATACTAATGCCGACCAGTTAAGTGCATGACATTCGAAGGTCAGTCCAAATCGTATACTATAATTTGTTTAAAGGATAATTCTAACATGATTTATTTTACTTACAAATAAGTAATGGTTAAAACTATTCGTTACCAAGGTTTTTATTTCATGAATTGTAAAAACAGAAGAGCATTATCCTAAAATAAATGCTTAATACTCTTTATTATTTACCTGTTGGAAATCACGTGTATAAAAACGTTTGTTTAGCATGACTTGGAGTGTACATTGATTCAGCAACATTTATTGAAAAGAATGTGTCGAGGAATCCTTACTTTCTATTCTAAAGAAAAACGTCGTCATGCTTTGTAACTCTCAAGAACCAAATTAATAACAATAGATCTGTCTAAATGTTTTGGTTTTAACTACAAATGATAAAAAATAGAAATCGTCAATGAAAAACTACACTCATTGTTGTCTGGTGTTAAAGGTTATACATTTTATGTTCTATCGTTGTTGTAAAATACGTAAAATATATATTTTTTTTTTCTGTTGTCCAGTTTATATGGCGGAGGGTGGAATAAATCCGCCGGAACAGCCAGACACTGAGCTGATTGGATTCACTGAACGTGTTGATGGTCCAAATGGCACAGGTTTGTTAATCAGGGTTCCACAGTATATCAGACAGCAATAACATTTTGACATTTACATCTTATGGAAATAATAGGCATTGTTTCAAACATAGAACTTTATTATTATTTACAACAGTAGTCTCAGACAAACATCAAACATTGATGCCATTCATCATCCAGAAATTCAAACAATATGTGTACTGTGTTGAAACATGCTGGACAAATCAATAAAGTGCCATACAATGGAGCAAAGTATATAATATGATTAGGCACGCCCAGTCAGCATTCGGACAATGAACTTGCGTCCGATTGTAGTTAATTATAAGCTAATTATCTTTCACGCACATTCGTTCCAGATACCACTACGCTACTATGCGATACATATTTAGAACACTTCAGTATTTGTGTTCTCTCTAAAAGACTTAAATAGCCTTAAATATATATCTGAATGGCCATTACATGGTCATTTTTGGAAATTACTCCAGACACAACAAACCTTTACTCGTTTCTAATTATAATGATCAAATAGAATTTGATTTCATATTGAATAAGTTAAGTATCTTACGAAAATGTTAAGGGGGTTTAACGATTAAGCTATGGCTGATAAATTAAGGTATCATAATGTTGATAAATCACTAATAAGATATTGACAATGTTGTTGAGTTTTACACATTATCATTATACTTGAATAATCACATAAGTGATGTGCCCGATTTGTATTATTTTCGGAAGACATTTTGACCTGCGATAAAAATTAGAAATAAAAGCAGTATATATTACTATGTTGTGGTAATTTCGTTGATACAATTTGATGTGTTGAAGACCTCGTGTGATTGTGCAATGAATGGTTATTGTATGTCCAGATCATTCACACCATGGAAGCTCAAATGACATCACCAAGTCTGAAGACGCCGAGGAGGAAGGTACTAAAACGCATGTGGCACATTCAGGCCAGGAGATGACAGTCCCATTAATAAACATACAGGCCAGTACACCAGGTACGTTAAAAGGCATAGACAGGTGTATTGTGGTGAAGTAGATAAGTTTTTACCGAAACGATTGGTTTTCATTGTCAAAGAACCTTTTTCATGAACTTTAGAAGAATTCCAGTGAATTATCTTAAATTCAACTTAGTGTTGTCTGTAGCATTTTGAGAGATAGCCTATGAAATGTGTTTTTAAAAATCAACATGATCCCTAGGGCATGTGATATGACATATTTAGAGCCGCGAACCATGGCTGTAAGACAGGGTTTCTATCTCATCAAAATAAACTATCAAAATAATAATGTAATACAAATCTTAAATTCAATACATGACAAGTGTTGAAATTTAGGTACGTATTCATATAAAGCAACTTTTAATAAAAGCGATGCACCTACTTCCAGTTCGTCTACTCCACAATCGAATATATACTATGGTCAAAATCGAGGGCCGGTATTATTGTCATTTAAAGGTCAGATTGTAGTAAGGTACTTTTCCATGAAGTCCTACGACTTTAGGGCGGTTTTCCTGTAGTCAATCAAGCTATATTATATATTTACTTCCACTATCCCGGACTTAAGATAAACACGAATGTAAGGTTAGGTCTTGGAAAATAAAGCATATATGAAATATAGAACACTATTTTAAGTGGAAATCTTCTAAATGATAAAAATATTCTGTGGTATGCACCACTATTTCACTTCATTAGTGCACGAAAATTGAATTAACAATAATATAAGAACACAAGAAAATTGTGTCAATTGAATATGTTTAAAAGTGTCCATCTAAAAATATTTCGTAAAATGTATCTTGCTATATCAGTTTGAAGATGAAATTGACACCTGCCTTCATTAGGAATGTCAGCGATGTCCATTATAAGAATGTCACAATTGAGAAACGTATTCAATATTTCTCTTGATATACGCCATACAACATGTAACTAATTTATGCTAATGAAAATAACCAGTATGAATTCCTATATATTTTCATCACAATGGCATTCTGTTCTGTTCAATAAACATGAATAGATACAGAAATTTACACTAACATAATATGGGTTTTATCCATTTCATAAGAAAGTACATGTCAAAAATTATGTTTTTAATAAACACATGTCTACAGCTTTTGATTACCTATGTATTGAAATATGATATATGCAAATAAGTATCAGATATTAAGTCTTACTGAGCGTTTAGTCTTGTTTGCCTCTTCCATGGAGTCTCTGTATTTGTCTTTCTTTAGTTAGTGTCTTGTCCTTGTTTTTTTCGATTTTGAATTCATTTTAATATTTTGTTATCATGTTTCATCAAAATGTGTGATCCATTTTAAGTGTATAGATAAACATTTGTCATTACAGATCAGTGACGTCACTGTTTCGTCGTGAGCGGACAATCACTCTACTCGATTACGAGGTATATAACAGGCACCAGATATGGAACCTGATAACCAGTGGAAGAAGTACAATCTACACTACGTTCATATTTTAGTAATCGTTAGTGGCTATAATGCCGTATTATTACTCATATTTATACTTTTAATTGAATATATTTTCTGTTCATATACACAATAATTTCTAAAGCTTTTATCAGATCAGCTCTCGTGATAGGATATGATTAACACTACTCTAAAATACGTAATCATTTGATCACTGTAAATGCACGTTGTTTTCGTGCAATCAAACTTTAAAAATATACATTTTGAACAAATATATGGAATGATGGATTCGCACATTCGCAATATAGATACAGAAAATTAATAAGCGCATTGTTACGTAAAGTTTTAGATTACCACTAAAATAAATTAGTTGGAAGGATTTTGTTGTTTAATCCGGATAAACATACATCTCGTGTGATGGTTAACTCTATGTAACACCAGAACATCTAGAATCGTTATTAAATATGGACTGATAATTCTTTATTGCGAGCGCTACAAGTCAAATATAAGCTAGGACAATTTAATTTGTCATTTCATTTAAATGCTACCATTAAGTACAAGAGTGTATTTACCTTTTAAATGTGGACTATTATTTCCATTCAAATAGTATCCACGCAGTAAAAGCTTACAATGCAAGTAAAAGAAATTAAATGTTGAAATAAAAATATCACTTTTATAACGCTCATTAGACCCTTTTGCTAACGATATATTTCAGTCGTGGTATCTGAGGAAGAGGAAGACATTTTAGTTCAAGCCTTGCTTGAAAACGTGTGCGGACATCCAAGGCTTAAAAGACCTGTCAAACCGAATATCATGATTTCAGTTACTTCGCAACCCGACTCGGTCTTTTGGGGGATGATTCATTTAACGGAAGATATCATTATCATAAGGGGCATCTCCACAGCATTTGGAAACCGAACCTTTGCTTCTCAAAATGCAAACTTGCATCGTAAGCTTTAATGCAACCAGGTGATTTTTAGAACCATTCTATCGTACTTTGAAATTATTTTTTTGAAGACTTTTACTGTAAAATATCATATTGTACATCCTTACATATTATAGCATTATCAAAAATGCGCTTTTCATAGTAATCTCTTTTTTAATATGTTGTGTTAAATTTACATTCATAGTTCTTAATTAATGTATTGTAATCTTTCATACATACAGTACTACTCTTGTCATGATGTGATATTCTTCTATATTCGTAACTTTGAATTATCTTTATTGTATCATGTTGATACCAAATCAATATACAATGTACTTTTGTCAACGTTTCATACCTTTATATGTGTGATATTAAGTCGTCTGGATTCTTTTGTAAAGTTTATCTACCTATATATGCACATAATTGACTACTTTTCATAGTCTTGGCACGTATTGCTACGTCGGACCATTGAGTAAACAGTCCTTCGAAACAATATACAATATGCCTTGTTCAAATTTTGACAGGTTGAACTAGAATTTAGAATTAAACAACAAATAAATCTTAGTCGACAATCATTTATCGAACTACAGGGATTCATGACACAGAGAACTTGAGAGTTTACACCTTCTGTCAAATACAGTACAACTGTATTTGAAAATATATTTTATGCATGCAATGAGTACCCGGTAAAACGATTAGACTGTGTTACTTTTGATATCATTATCACTATTGTATGTTAAAAACTATATCACCACTATAATTCGTTTTGTATAAACCGCTAATCTCCGGTAAACCATTCACGCCGTCTGGAATCAATAACTTCCCTAAAGGACACTGAATGCTTATTTATTTGGCAGTTACCAACTAGTTTGAAATTATGATATCTTAATTTAACTGTCACAATCGTCAGTAGCTCAGATGACTACACTGTCAACTTCATCAAATGTTTGAATGACTATACTGTCACCTTCATCAAACGTTTCAATGACTCAACTGTCATCTTCATCAGACGTTTCAATAACTACACTGTCACCTTCATCAACGTTTCATTGACTACACTGTCACTTTCATCAAACGTTTCATTGACTACACGGTCACCTTCATCAGACGTTTCAATGAATACACTGTAACCTTCATCAGACGTTTCAATGAATACACTGTAACCTTCATCAGACGTTTCAATGAATACACTGTAACCTTCACCTTCACTTTCATCAAAGACGTCACCTTCATCAAACGTTTCATTGACTACACGGTCACCTTCATCAGACGTTTCAATGAATACACTGTAACCTTCATCAGACGTTTCAATAACTACACGGTCACCTTCATCAGACGTTTCAATGAATACACTGTAACCTTCATCAGACGTTTCAATGACTACACTGTCACCTTCATTAACGTTTCATTGACTACACTGTCACTTTCATCAAACGTTTCATTGACTACACTGTCACCTTCATCAAACGTTTCATTGACTACACGGTCACCTTCATCAGACGTTTCAATGAATACACTGTAACCTTCATCAGACGTTTCAATAACTACACTGTCACCTTCATCAAACATTTCAATGACTACACTGTCACCTTCATCAGACGTTTCAATGAATACACTGTCACCTTCATCAGACGTTTCAATGAATACACTGTAACCTTCATCAGACGTTTCAATAACTACACTGTCACCTTCATCAAACGTTTCAATGACTACACTGTCACCTTCATCAAACGTTTCAATGACTACACTGTCACCTTCATCAAACGTTTCAATGACTACACTGTCACCTTCATCAGACGAATGATGCAGAAAACTACTTATCGATACGTCAAACATATTTTTAACTGTTTAAGACACGGTGTTTATTTCTGTATTAAGAATTAGTTTTCTATGCACAGGCCATTGATATTAGGTGATCTTTCAGGCGATGTCTGAAACAATGAAAGTATTTATATTCATATCAAAGATATGAGAACAAAAACCATCTTTGTCGTTTTGATATTTTCTGTGAATACTGGATACAATGCAGTTGTAATGCTGCATAACATGGTTCCTGGCTTTGTCCATTTTTTACCGTTAACTTCACACGTTGGGTATTACCGACATCACTTATTGCCTCTTGCTGTGTTTGTTGCTAATCTTGGTTTGTTATCGTTTGAGAACGTGGCATTACTAACTTGGACTGAGCTCTGGGGGATTCAAGTAATGGATGGTTACCTGTAGGAAACACCTGGTCTTAGCCTTATTTTTGCCCTCGTTTCATCGATTTTTAATTTGAAACTGGTATTTTCTTGTTTCTGTTTAGACCTCCTATCGCGTTTGAATTCTAACTATGCGTTCTGCATGTACTTGTACACACAAGCTGTCCATACAATGTCCAATTCAATGTGATACAGCACTTGATATTTCAAAGTGATTCCGAATACCTAATTCGTGTCGAATTGGCTCCATAGATTAGCTACTTACTTAATAATTTCAGTTGCAGTTTATGTTGTTAACCTTTAAAATTTGTTTCCTCTTGTATGCCCGTCCTAACCATCTCTTGCCTTCTTATAAAAAAAATCCGTGAAGTCCTACACTGCGTGATATAGCTGTACCACCCTAGCCAATGCAATGCCACTCTTTAGTTTGCTTTGTGGTTCAGTTTATAGACAATTAATAAAAAAACTGCAGAAAAGTTTGTTATATTTTAACATATGGTATTTAATTGTGAGGAAATGATGACGTATTGCAACTCTGTTGACTTAAATGACAATAACTGTTGATATCACTTTAAAAAATATAAAACCAGATATCTATTGACTGATCAAATCGTCCTACCAGAATTTTCCGATGTACACGACAACAAATTATCACAATAAGTCACAGGGAACAATACGGTTACATAGGTTGGAAATCTCTTCAGTAGTATGTTATGGATACTAGTAACCTTTCTACCTTGTATAATATAACAGGGTCTATTGATCTGTACATCTGTTGTTGTAATTAAGGTACCTATACGTTAATTAGCTTCGGAAATACTTTATAACACAGACATTGTAACATATAGGATATTTTACCAGTGTCTTCAGCCATATCAAATATACAGCACTATTTTGGGGCTAATAATTCAAAATCACTCACGAGTGTGTTGCAAGAAGCAGATTCCCAATTTAGAAGAACTGAAGAAGCTGTTAGATGTTCTGTTTGTTGCACTTCATTTTCTTTTGTATGTTTGTTTTGCGCTTTGTACAGTTTTATCAGGCTTTTTGATTGGTCAATTTTTACAATATAAAATGTGTTCCTTGTATTTATGGTAAACTTTTTATCAATTTGATATTTTTTCTTTATTCCACTGTTACTACATATTTTCATGTCAACATTGTAGGGTTACATGAACTGACTTACGACATATGACACTTATAATGAATAACAAAGTACCGCAATAGTGGTTTAGAGAGTGCGAAATTGTGTAGTATGTAATATGATATATTTAACTTTTCTAAGGATCTTCTAATAATTTGGCTTTGAATGTTTCAATAAGCGCAATATTACGAATTCTGAAATTAGATGATTTTTTTTCTCATAATATTAATATCAAATACTGATAGTACCGACGACGACGAGAATGTTCACGATTTTTATCCTCTTTGACACAAAAATCAATATGCCCAACAAAAACTATGCAGATAGTATGTAAATATATATATATATATGATATCGAATAATTGTCAAATTTTTCAATATTTTCGAAATTTGTAATAGTTTAGGTTATATCCGTTAGATTTGTTAGCAACATAGATGTTTAGATATGTTGTTTAGTATGTAGGTTAAAAGTAATTATTCTAGTGACATTTTCTTCTGTTACAAACGGCACATGTTATTTCATTAATATATCAGATGATTATTAACAATAATTTACAAAATACTTTGTAGGAGAAGATCATTAAAAAATTACCCACACACGTGCGTCAGTTTAATACGCCAAATATTATTCTACCTCTATCTCACGTGACGTTTAGAAACAGTTTTCATCGTTGAAGGATTAGTAACATTTGTTATTTAGTTGTTTGTGGTAATTGTTAAAAAGCATATAACGCCAATTATTATTCTTAAAAAACACCAGTTCTTTTTCAAATTCCTCAATTAAAACATATTGCATATGATATTGCTAGTTATTTGAAATTATGACTAAATTTTCAATACTCCCTACAATATTTCTTTTTATTGTGTAAAACCTATTGTGACTACGTAGATATTTGTTTTGTGATATTGCTCCATAAATGGGCGTAACCATCGTCAAAACAGGTTATTGTTTATGAATGACCGTCCCGTTGTGTTTGTTTACGTGTCGCTGGGCAAAGTGAATGTATATATTATTTATGCGATCTCGAGAGTCCTTTTCCCAATCATCAAAGGTTAAAACTATCAAAGGTCTTCGCCATAATCAATATATATTGTTTCTATACAACAGAGAGTACTGTGTACATCAACTGTTCGTTGTATTCAATAAGTCTACCCGTGCGTGGAGACATAAAATCTAACCGTAATGGGAGCTGGCTGTTTGATATAGCTATTGTCTTGTCTTATGTTGTGAAACTGATCGGAACTGAAAGGTAATGTACGATTGGTGACATGTGTATATCTAAAACAGGAACTCTCTCTGGTATGATTCATTCGTTTACTGAGAAGGGTCTTATATTTTTCATACAAGGTTTTGTGTACATATACATATGTACATTTATGTGTCATAATTTCAAATACGATTTTTAACAGTTTAAATTGCTTAGAATCAATCAATTTAAGTTTTACTTTCTAACGATTGATCATTGTAGCATGAATAGTTTAATTTTAAGCATTTAATTGACTGAAGATGACGTATGGCACATTAAATTATAATGTATATTTTACAGTTCTTATCAATGTATCCCTATGGAAAAAAGGGTAAATCATGAAAAATCAGCACAACAATAAACGATACGTATATTATGTAAGTAATGCATCTGCTCCATTCATTGCAATATTTACCATTTTTATCGATTCTACCATTTTCATCAGTCATCAGTGTCTCGCTTGATAAACATTTCAGTAACTGATAATCTAGAGTTAGAGCCCTTCATGGTGTTTGTCCGAGATTAAATCTTTACCAAAAAATTTTGAAATTGAAATTCTATGGTTGCATCGTACAGTCTTCCACAATACAAATCAAACCATATAAACAATCCTATACGTGGAACTTATAGATATTTCTTGTTAACATGTTTTTTGTCTGTGTAGTAGGCAGTATTCATTAAAATTTCATTAAAAATCAGTATCTAAAAACAGTAGGCAACGTTACTTTTTAACCGTTTAATATTCCTAATTTACCATCATTTTCTTATGTCATTCATAGCTTAATGAATGCAATATGATTTTAAAAACTATATATTTTGATATTGTCTTAAAAAAATTATAGTTAGAATAAACACTTTTCTTAAAAACCATTGTAGTTCCCGATATTTTCCGTGGCCGTTTAAAAAAAGTATATATATACAGATTAGTGACATTTCTCATTTGTTACAAGGGAAATGTTATCTGCAAAACAACAAATCTCTAGTACGCTAACGTGATAACTTAAAAACAATTTTCAGTCTAGAAAAACATCGATGGCAAATTGGATGTGTTTCTAGGCAAAAAAGGTACAAAACACAATGTTATACATTTGTATTTTCTCATAAATTTGTGATACCCGTCGCTCGCGAAGTATCACGTGAGAACAATAGACATGTAAGTTAAACAACAGACACATAAAGGAGAGAAATAGTACCATGTTATTTAAACAGAAATAATTGAAAACATTTATCAAACAAACTGTCGCGTGAGTTCGCCAGCTGAGATCATTATATGCCTATACTGGTATTTACCAATAACACACCCATGTCGATACGCGTACTTGTTTTCGTAAAGTCCTGGATAAATGCGGTAACGGCTACACGAATGAATTAGCACATTTCAATATTCTTTGTTAATTTTCTCAGAGAAGTTTACGGGCTGTCATTATAGAAACATTTGTTGGAAATTTCATGCAATCCGTTTTAAATGTCTTTATTATGTGGTATAAATATTGTGATGATTCACTTGGTATACTTTTTATGACATTTCCTACTTCTTACTTACATGCTACATGTATCTATTGTTATCTATTGTCGCATGTATTAACGTTATACTTGATGTTTTTGATAATCAACAATAAACATTTTTCTACAATCAGAACATCTTCGCCGTCTTTTCTTTCGCGGACTGGAAAATTTTAAAATATGATATAGTTTAAGGAAATACCACACTGTAATTTCAATGGTTCACATTTTCGGGAAAAGGAAGTTTTATTTTCATGTTATTGTTTAACGTACAAACAATCATCAGGACTAGTTAAGCGTTTAAGCCTTCCGGTGTATGCGAAGCGAGTGTATGTTTTGTGTGCGTATGTTTTGAGAGGCTGTGATTTGATTGTTAAAGATTTCCTGTGATAGAACAGAACTGGTCGGCTTTATAGTGCGAACTTTAAGAAATATACTCCTGGAGGTCCCCAGCAGGACATCCCGCCCGCTTATATTACACCGACAATGAACAAGCAAGTCTATCTAAGACTACAACAAAGACCTTTAAGCAGGAATTACGTGTAGTAACTGCCATTTCCCTAAGTTTTGGTATGTCATGACCGAAAGATAGAACCCAACGCCTTCCTGGCGTCAGGGTTGTATCAAGAAAAAACAAAGAAGATGTACAAAATTTAGAAATAAGAAAATATTAAGATCCAATGATCGGTTTACGATCATGCAATTAGGGCACAAGTATAGAAAAATGCGGTGTTGATCATGAAATCATGGTCTATAATTTTCTATACTGTATATCATGAGTATTCATAGTAGCTAGTCAGCGACCTATCATAAAAAACAAGTTTGTAAATGAAAATTTGATAAAACCTATAGTGTTTGTGGTATCCATGTCACTTTGTCATTAGTATTCCATCTGTTGGTTTTCTATGTAAGATGGCTTGCTGTTACATGGATTTCTAAGTATTGTTACAAGCGAGGTCTACACGAATCGCTAGGCCATGCCACGAACTGAGGTGACAAGAATTGCTGAGTGAGGTTAAATTAACCAAGAAGTCATATATGATAACCAAATTCAAATTTATAGCTTTGACCTAGTCAATACATCTCTGGTTCAATGTCATATGTTAGCCAAATATAAATATACAGTGTAGATATGTTTGTATATGTTTGTATACATGTTTAGTTCTGGTACCATCTGGTATGTTAACCATACAAGAGACCTAGCACTTGGTTAAAGGTAAGTAGCTTTTAAGTGTCATAAAAAAGAAATTGCGACATCAATGATTGTAACCCAGTGTCAATACATCCATCAAAACTGTCATCCTATACCTATAATTCTTACAAAGTTACTTAAATAAACAACGCTATGCTCAAAAATTACAATAAAGTTAATCTCTTCCTCAAGAAGAAATGCAAGACCCATATTGGTAATTAAAGCACTTTAAGATGCTTCAATCCATGCAGAGCATGTGATTCTACCCTACCTGGGTGTTGAGATGACTTTGGAAAACTTAGTCAATTTGGCAACTTTTTAGCCAGGATCACTATGTGCATACTATATAGCTGTCATCCCTTGCTCATAATTCTGACCAAGTTTGAAAATATTTTCAAAGGAAATTAAATAAATTATGCTCAAAATTCTATTTTTCCTATAAATACTATTATAAACTTTACCCCCTCTCCACGGGGAAATGTGAGACCCTTGGGCCATGAAATTCACAATTTTGGTGAAGCATGTTCATATGCTTCAATCCATGTGGAGCACTTAATTCTACCATATCTGGGTTTTGAGAAAAAGATTTTCAAAACTCAAATTTGAAACGTTTGGCCCCCAACCCTCAGGTCCCTGCAGGGTGGGGACTGTATAATTCAATATTTTGGTTCATCGTAGGCCAGGAAAGGGTTCCTGTAAAATTTTTTTGAAATCTGTTCTGGAGTTCTTGAGAAAAAGTAAAAAATATTGAATTGTTTACAGATGCACAACATCAGCAAAGGGAAACCCTATGTCTCTGGTGAGCTAATAAAGATACATATTTTATTCCGTTTGTAGTGATTATACTGATTTCAGTAAAACATCCTAAGCATGCATTTGAAATAGAAAACGTCGGGTTTGATTGATTGGATTTAACAGGTGTATACGTTCAAAGTAATTTTAAAGACATCACCTTATTTCTATGTTTTGAGATATCTTTAATAACATTCTATATTGCCCTTCATTTTCAGATCTTGGACATTTCAACTTTATAATTCATAACATTCAGCACATAAGAAAATACTATAATTACCTATGATTGACAAATGTACTATGAAGCTGGACTCTTCAAGTTCAGATCTCTGCAGTGCATGTACAAGAATCACATATCATTAACCTGACACATTCTAAAAGCTAAGACATTTCAGTCTTAATAATCATATTGTTTCACTGTAATTTGAAATAAACTAACATGTAAAATCTCATCTTTTTGAGATCAGGATATTAATTTTATATTACGTTAGTTCAGATTGATATAAAATCTAAAGGAATGCCAAATCTGCAGTTTTTCTGCAAGATTGTTAATTTTATTTGTGAACCTAAATTTTATATTTTTTTGATAAATATTCAGCATGCACTACAATTGTTTTTTCATGAGCTTACATAAACTTTTGCCATTTCAAATCATCATGTGAAAACGATATTGTTTTTACACAATAAATCACAGAATCAAGATGTCCGTGCTTCATCCATTTTATTCATGATTTATTCTAAAAATCAAAATCTGATACTTGTAAAATTGAACTCAAAATTATGCCAAGTATCATAAATTTCTTTTAATTGTTTGGTTTCAGCTTCAATCACTATCATAGTAATAGCCCTCAAAATAATTAAAAAAAGCATATTTTAATTTTGTTTCTTCTATAATCTAAATCACTGGTTAGCCATCAGATTAAAAAAAAAGCAAAAAAGCAACGAAAATTAAACAAATTCTAACTGAAAGAAGTAAAATGAATTATTCCTGAAAAAGGTGACACACAAAAAGTGGTAATATATCAAATCTTTTTAAATCTTAAAATTGTGTGAAAATCTATGAGTCTTTAATTTAAAAGTGCAATGTTTTAATTTTGTCATGTTTGCAGCAGTGTTCAACTAATATTTTTTTCACAAATTGTATAAATCTAATCTTAACTTATTTTTTTATCTTGAAAACTATCCAAATTTCAATTCAATTTCAATCAATTACAATAAAATAGAAAAAAATGTCCAAGACCTTCCAGTGGCAATATGTGTTTCCCAGAAAATTGAGAAGCAAACTAGTCTGTGTTGTTGCCTTGGTTATGCTCCTATGTCAGACGCTTCTCCAGTTGATGTGGATGGTATAAAGTGAGCCTCCCATATAGATGCTGTTATGTGAGGTAGTAACTACTACAAGGAAACCCTTTCTCAAAATGACTCTGGCTGGTCATATGGCAATAAAACAAACAAATTCAATCTTTAAATCTGGTTGAAAATCTGTAATAAAAAGGTCCCAGATGACAGAAGATCACATAAAACAGATGAGAGTGTTAACAAGTTAGTGAGGTATTATTGTGATTCCTCCAAAACATTTTGAGTTTGTTTCCACTTAATATCACAGATCTGAGCTATATGATCTGAGGGAAATACAACACTTGGTAAAGCTGTGTGTAAAACCACCTCTTCATGGTCCGGAGGGGGGATAACTTTTTCCACACTGAATTTATTGCTGTCTATGAAAATATAGTCTAACATCTCGTGGAAGTTAGCGACATAATTGGTGTATTTTGGGTATCCACACGCACTGATTAGTGTTTGACTGTGGGAAAATGTCATACCGCACAGATGAGCGTCTTCTGGTTTATCTGCAAAACAAACAAAATTATTCTGAAATGATATCCCAATATTTCACTTACAGTAACAAATTAAAGATCCTAAAAAGTGATGAAAGATTCACAAATTTAGGCATTATTAGACTCTAACAGGCAGTCTTCTAAAGCATTCTATTGTGCTGACCTAAAACTACCAACTCCTGTATCTAGAAGGCAAAACCCTTTTGTTTAAATGAAGGCAGAGAGATGCCAGCGAAATCATCCTTCAAATTAAATAAAAAAAAAAATGAAAAATTACAAAAAATTCTTTTGCAAATGCTCAAGAATCAAACAAACTGTCTACATCAGTAAAGAACAACTAAGTGGTATAGTTACTGGTTACTGTCCAGTGTTGTAGACATCAAACCTGGATTGCTATCAAAACTACCACTTGTATTTATTTTGTATTTGTTAATTTTGATAGATAGATTAAAAACATTTCTCAGGACTGTCCAAAATAATTTTTTCAAAGATCATATGACAGTCTAAAAATATTCCAAAACATCATGGTCTAACTTCATTTATGAGAACAAAATGCCTCGAATACCTTATAGCAGAGAGTAGTCTCCCCTTACCTGGATTATTCCAGTCTGAGAGATCACCGGGTACAAAACCTTGGGTCACGTACTGATGAACTCCACGTACTGGACGGCTGTTGAAATCTCCACAGAAAATAATTGCCAAATCTACTCCCTGTAGAAAAATACATAACATGTGCAGATAAAAACAGAATAACCACCAAACCCATTCATTATTTTTACTATCAACATGCTATCTCCATAACTCGTCAAGTGAGATTTGTTTCCCTTTGGAACTGTTTTGTTTCTGAACCTAGGTAATTACTACTTTGACCAATTAGACAAAAATTGTTTTTCATAAAAGAATGATGGATCAATTGACGGTGCATGTGTACTTTGGTTTCTGAACAGCTTTGATTACAAATTTGAAGGCCATTACTGATTGCAAGAGCATCAGTGTATCAACTATTAAATGAAAATGGACCACTATATATACTATCTCCATATTCAAATCAATAATATGTCTAAGGAGAGACTAATAACAGGCATACTTCCCTTAAGTATTAAACAAAATTGTATCTGTAGAGAGATGTTGAAGAGATGGTGAACTTTTTAAGAAGTCTTTATCTTAAGAAAGATAATGATAACTATTTTATTGTATTACCTGATCTTTGTATGTTGCTTTGAGCTGCTCCAGATGTTTGATACAGAGCACACACTGCAAAAGCCTTACAGCGTCAGCATCTGGTCGAAAATACAGGTGAGTATTAGCGACACATAATACCTGACTTGGGTCTTCAGTGCTCTTCAACACCACTGCCTACAATGAATATATAATACTAGATCATTTCATTTCAGCAACATTTCACCAGATATTACTTCATAAAGGATCAACATCATACACTATATACACACAGGTTCTCATAGTTATGTAAATTTATAAACTTGTAAAATTTAGATACAGAACTTTCATTTCAGGCCTTTTGCATGTGCATATCAATAAGACCAATGAAAAACTACAAAATAAAGAATGACATTCTTAAAAGAGTTGTGATAAAATATAATTTATCATATAAATATATACTTCAGTATCAAACATTATACAATAAAGTTGAATTACCAATATATAGAAGGCTTCTGACAATGATTGATGCTACCAAGCACTTTGGCACTGTTTTACACAGTTCTCATTTGATAAAGCCAAATTGAAATTCTCATCATGAGATTAATAAACTTGCGCCAAATTATGTCTACAACTACCAGATATCTACATCTTAAACTTGTGTAAGATTCTGTTTATCAAAATAATTTACAATTTACAATAATTTTACATGCAATCACTTCAGGGTCATCTGACTATAAAGACCTATATATGAAAGAGGCCAAGCAGGCATTAGATAAATTACTCAAATACACCACAGCTTACATAGAAGACATTGGGTTGGTTCATAAAGACATTTTCTGTAAACTTGAAATCATATTCTTTACAGATGCACTACAAAAATGCCATTACTCCACACATATTGCTTGTTGAAAGAGCATGCTATATGCCCAACATCATGACCCTTGGACTTTTGGTTATTAACAAGAAGTTGCTTATGTATTTCAACACATTTGACCCTGTGACCTTGACAGTGGGTAAAGGTAATGCATTTAAACAAAACTGGTAGCTATTCATCCCACAATGTTACAGGCCCATTATGACTACCCTGGGCCTTTTGGTTATTAAGAAGAAGTTGTTTAAAGATTTTGACATACTATACCCTGTGACCTTGAAGGTGGGTTAAGGTCATTCATATTAACAAACTCAGCAGCACTACATCCCTGCATGCTACAGGTCTGGTTATTGAGAAGAAGTTGTTTAAATATTTTAACCTATTTGATACCAGTGACCTTGAAAATGGGTCAATGTCAGTCATGTTAACAAACTTACTAATCCTTTTTTTCATTGTGCTACAAGCGTAATATCAGCAACTTCGCCCTTTGGTTATTAAGCAAAAGTTGTTTAAAAACTTGCACATTTTTTTTACTCTAGTGACCTTGAAAATGGGTCAAGGTCATCCATATCAACTAACTTACTAGATCTAAATCCTAGCATGTTACAGGCCCAATATCAGCACCCTGGGCCTTTTGGTTATTAAGAAAGATCATTCATATTAACAAACAAGGTAGCTCTTCATTCCATCATGCTATAGGCCTAATATCAGTACCCTGTGCTTTCTGGTTATTGAAAAGAAGTCATTTAAATGGAAAGTTTGCACACGACGGAAAGTGCATGACAACCAACGAAACACAATGACTATAGGTCATCTTGATGTATATACCTGCAGTACAGCTCCATGACCTTCCATCAATGTTGTAACATCCCTGTCTACACTAATCTTCTCAGCAATGTCAGTATACGCTGGATTGTTCTTCAGCTGTTCTGACAGGAGGATGCTATGCTCGGCTACCAAACTGACAAAAAATCAAAGCTGAGAGTGTACATTGGAAGTCTGAAGGGGTCATAAGTTTACATCAGTGGCTAAATAGGATTTGCATTTCCATGGCTATCAAATGAGTGCCAATACTTATGTGTTATCTCAAGAAGATGTATGATTTATAATACAATAAATGCCACAAAGCATGTAACTACTATAACATGAGTGCTGTGCACATAGATATAGCACAGGTATAGCCTCAAATATAACAGTCGGTACAATAATGTCAGATAAGAAATCCAGTCAACCAGCAGTCTTTTAGGTCATACTTATACATAATATACAACTCAAATAATCACAGAATTCCATGAACTGAAATCATATTGGAACTAAATAAAACACCAGTTTTAGTACATACCTGAATTTAGAACTTCTGAAAAAGATGGCTTCACCTTCTGGAGCATTAGGTCCTTTCCATTGTGAAATGCCTGTATATCCTAACAAGTCTAGAGCTGACGAGAAATAGGAATTAAAGCCTTTCCTGTCCACTTCTTGTAAACACATTATATCACAGTTGTAGCCTGTTTAACATAACAAACCCAATAACTAATAAAGCGATTCAGATAATAATTAATTGAATTGAATCAAATGTGTATGTGCACCCTTAAGATATCAAAAAGCTGTCTTTGAAAAAAAGGATAAAAAAGAGAGAGACTTGCTCAATAAATTGATTCTGAATGTAATAATGATTGATACAATTTAAACTTGACTTTTTGACAAATCCAATGAAACCTATTAGGGTTTTGGATTTTTCATAAAAATTTGACAGTAAATACATTGTCTATTAAGAACATAATTTTCATTATCAACAAAGGTAATGTCCACTAAATATCCAGTTATATTGAGCAAAAGTCTCATCATATATGACAGCATAAATCCAATAATAGGAACAGCTTTAACATGTGCTGCTCCTGTTTTGACAGTTGCCATTATCCTATATTTTCTCCATTTCATTGAGCATTCTGATGTCACAATAAAGGTACAATTGCAATTATAGTCTCATAATTACATTGAACGTCTACTACTGTTGTAATGGTACAGCAGCAGGCCAAAGTTAAAAATGAATATTTTACTATGACTGTATAACAGCTACATCTGTACCCTCCCCCCTTGTCAAGAATAAATATACTTAATGGAAATAAATCTCAACTTGCTTAAACAAATTATCAATCACTTACTAACAACAGGGATTCAATGCAATTTCAAAATGAATTAGAAGAAGAAAATCAGTTACATCAATGAGGTTACTGAAAGTATATACATAGCTTGCGGAAATATTATTTTAGTACTTTTCAAGCTGAAGAAAAATATGCTGAAATATGAATGTACTATATCTTGCCATTGGATATCGTTTATATGGAAAAATCATTACCAAAGTACTAATTTGCCAAAAAAGTGATAATGCATTAATTCTGATTGTGCTAAATTAGGTACATTTACGGCAATATATATATACAAGTGTATTAGTTTTAACTGAAATATTTATGATACAGGATTCCAAAGCAAATTGACTATAGACTGAAATACCATAAAGCTCCTTCATGATGAGAGGTCTGCGGTAGTCACCCTTGAGAGCATATGGTGCGCAGTAGTTGTACAGAATATCTCTGGTGTAGTCAGTATCAGCGTAAAAGTCTGCCAGAATGTTATAGGACATCACTCGGACACTGTGAATACAAGAATGTTTTAGCTCATCACTCAGATACTGTGAATACAAGAATATATCATAGCTCATTATTCGGATATTGTGAATGCAGAATAGTTAAGCTCATCACTTGGATATTGTTAATACAAAAACGCTACAGCTTATCACTTAGATATTCTGAATACAGAAATAACATAACTCATCACTCAGATATTGTTGACAGATGAAACCAATGGTTCATTATAGTGTAGCGGGGGACATCATGTCATCTTTAATTTTATGTGATGTGAAGTTGTCAATGCTTGATTTTTTAGTCAGCTTTATACAGGTGTCCGTGTGTCATGTCTACTGTAGTGTATGTACCCTGTGTACCCGTGACCCCTTCATCGTTTTGTCCTGTCACCTGTTACCCGTTTTGTCGCAGGTCTATGTATATCACGTGCAAGTTCTCCTGTCTTGTTTTCCTTGCATTTTCGTCCGTGTCTGGGGTGTTCCGTCTCTTGTGATGTGTTGTGATTGGTTCTAGCTGTCTCGTATTGTCATTTTAGGGTATAAGCTGTAGTGTGTTTAGTAATTTAGGGTGCAGAGCGTCGGATTGACTTCCAGAGGTGAAAACCTTCTCTGAGGTAGGTCTGGGGATATGTTAGGTTAATTAGACATCATTCAGGTAGGAAGCTATATAGCGGGGTGGAATAGTGAGGTGTTAGGTAGTAGGTAAGTTTACGTTTTTGGTATAGATGAGGATGTTGTTGTGTCTGTGTAGGCCTATGCTGTTGTCCTTAATTTACGTTTGCTGTTAAATAAATTGTTAAATTCAAATTAGCAGTGTTTGTCCTCCTTCGAAAACGCAAGCTGAACCCATTGAACCTGGGTTGACGGTGATACAGGGCGAGACGGGACCAGGTAACTGTTGACCCCCCCTCTCCCTCCTGTTACAATAGTAGTCCCAGATATTATTAATACAGCTTACGTCTCCATTACTGTGGATACAAGAACATCATATCTCATCACTTAAATACAGAATAACACTGCTGTCATGTGATATAACACTATAATTTTATAACTACCAGTTTGGTTCTGTGATATGTTCCGTAAATAAATGTCTGGCTTGAAAAGGACAAATTCCTGGTCCTGGGGTAATTGAACTTTTCATCACTGTATAAACTTCCTCTCCAGATATTGCTCCCCTTTTCGGAATACATTTCAGCATTAGCTTCCAGCCAATATCCTCAACAGTTGTGGTGTAAATACATGTCCTACTAACTTCTTCACATTCACTGAACGTTGGTGAATTGGAATTCGTAGCTATTTCACTTCCTTTCACTCTACTCCATATAAACTCGGTCTCTTTCAAATCAGTGAATTCTGCATCTATCAATGGTATAACTGGGACCTCCGCCATCGTTGATTCAGGTAAGGAAACTTTTATTATTTTCGGTGCGTTGACAATAATTGAGAGTTTACAATCCGCAATTTTTAAAATGCTACCATCGACCATTGAATCTTTGATGGTGGCTTCCTTCCCGAAGTTGATTCCATCTAAAGAAATTGTAATAGGTGGAAGAAGCGATTCTTCATTTGATTCACTTTTTGATTTCTTCTTCTTCTTGAGACATTTCTTTTCGATGCCTGCATGAAGGCGATCGATGAGTTCCCCGACCGTTTCGTCAAATCGACGCTCAAAATTAAACATCTTCAGTTGTTTAGATTGAACGCCATATTGAAACGAAATTTTCAATCTTTCTTCATCTGGAGAACATCTAACGTAGCAGTGTTCCATTCTTTTAAAAACTGTGTTTGTTAATGTGGAGTTCAAATATCTTGCAATCCTCTTAACCATATGACATGAGGTCGATTGCATGACTGGGAGCAACCATTACCGGAAGTCCAGCCGGAAGTAAATAACTATATGGGACAAGGTAATGTAAAGATAAGAAACAGCATGACCTAAATGGTAATCATGAAAACTTAAGCATGTCGTTCTCTAACTTGACGCGAAAACTTTGATCCTAGTGCAGAAAAGGATATATCGAACTTTTATTTCCTAACAGGAAAATTTTCAATAGAACCAACATACACCAATCTGTCAATGAAATAGGTAATACACATGAAAAGACTGGAACGTTTCATACGTAAAATATATTTTTATATATTTGAACATATTTTTCTAAAATTTCAAACACTGATGCGGAATGTGCCACCATGTACTCAGAAGTTCTCTGATTTCCAACTATTATTTTTTCTGCTGTGACAGTTTCCTTTACTTAAAACCTTCACGGTACCTATTGGAAGTTATCTGAATCCTGCAATCATTTACCAACTATGATATTCTTCCCCCACGTAACACTTCCTCTTATAACGTCTCTGTACCCTGAACTCTGTAACCGGTAACAGAATACACAGTGCTTTGTAACCCTTTACTGAGTTGTATGTATTCCGTTACCCGTTACCCACTGCCTGCTGAATTTACTCTTCAATTTATTATTTATCATGACTCACGTAATCTGTAATCCAGTACCGAAACCAACGAATTATGTAAATCTTTATCAAAATTACCCCATATCCTGAACTCCATAACCTGTTACCCAGTGTCTAACAAATTGTTTAACCTTTAATTACTCCGTATCTGAAGTCCATAATCTGTAATTCATTTCCTAAGAAATCGAATTATTCAACCCCTTATTATCCCGTATCTTGAACTCCGTAACCTGTTACCCAGTGCCCAACACAACAAATTGTTTAACCCTTAATTACTCTGTATCTGAACAATATAATCTGTAATTAAATTCCCAACACAACGAATCCTATAACCCTTAATTGCCCAGTATCCTGAACTCCGTAATATGTTACCCAGTACCAAACACAACAAATTGTTTAACCCTTGATTACCCCGTAACCTATTACCCAGTATCAAATAAAACGAATTTTATAGCCACGATGTACCCCGATGTCCTGAACTTTGATACCTGCAACTCAGTGCCTAGTTTTGTATATATATCGCTTTATCTCATAATAGGAAGTTGATACGAGAGTTTGACGTCGGTGATAAAGACCAATTGAAAAAAAAGCATACATTTTATATTGTATTGTTTAGTGGTACAAAGACGTTTACTTCCAATAATAGGACACAAGAACAGGAGTAAAAATTATTTCGTTTTTGAGTATAGTTGTAAAATCTTTATATATATGTTTTTTGTTTGGGTATTGATTGGTTGACGGGTTTTCCGTCTCCGTGACTCCTCCCGTACCCGGGTATCGTCTCACCGACGAACGTCAGTGTGCATGTACTGGTGACGTGATTTGGGTATTACCTGTATAGGGTTATATGATAGGAACTCGTGTTTTGAGACTTTACTAAGCCTTGCTTTATCGGACCAAGTGTCGCCGATAAACAAAAAGCTTAATAATAAATTTAAATATATATATATATATATATATATAACCAATCTTATTTGTAGGAAAATTAAATCGCATTTATCAAACAATAGACACACAATTTTAAATAAAGATTTATATATTCTTAACTTGAACGTCACGGTAATCGCAACATATCAAACAGATATATGATCGTTTTCAAAACTTTTCAATCCTTTAAAATATTTCAAATATTTTCACTAATGGATTTGTAATATTTATCATGTCACACAAAAATTCTGCACCGTACTGCTATTTGATGAATCAGCACAGGGCATGGAGGTTGACGTTACAGCAAAGTAAATAAATATTAAATAAAATACTAGAGGGTAAAGATGATGAAATTAGCCGGAGAGGCTGCATAAAATTATTGCATATTTCATTTTTGTCTTGGCGAACATTTTAATCTATGGATTATGATATTTCAATGCCCTTTGTAGAGGTAAGTTGTTTATATTTAAGTTATAATCGAGTATTAATGTCCACGTGTGTAATGGTGGGCCCAATGTATAAGGGATTAATTAAAGTCATGACCTTAACCCGGTTGGAAGAGTGTATCTGTAGAAAATACCTCCGTGCGACCAGTCTAACATTCTATACCCGTCTATGTGGTTTGTTCTATACCTAGTGTGTGACGTCTACAGACCCGATGTCTCACTATGACTATGAATTGGATTTTGCTTCTTTGTCTTTTCTGTACAGGTAGGTTAACTTTGTTGCTTCAACAACCCCACCCCCCTCTTCTCCACAATCCCCTAAGCTTAGCTAATCTTTTTGCATATTCTAACGAGACGATAAAGGACTTTTAAATGTTAAAGGTGCTACACATGTTTTGATTTCATCCCATTAAAGGCAGAATAATCTTATATTACTCTTTAAACTTTAAATATAAGCCATACAGCCAAAACAAGATTACAAAGGAATCTCAGCTCACACCATTGTTTGATCTTTAACAGTTCCTGAAATGTTGGATCTTTTCTCGTCTTTCATTCTTTCAACAAACTATTACTGTCCAAATCCAAGAAGATCGCATGAGGGCACTGTTGATTTCCTAATTAGCATGAAAATGTGACAATGCACAACAAGGGATCACGAGTACCTAAATATGGGAAAAGTGTAACATTCACAGGTACTTCTCAAGAAAAAGCGATTTAATTCAAAATGTGTAAGGACGGACAACAAACAAGGACGGAGGGCGATTTGAACAACCTACCATTAAATGTGTGTGCTTAAATAAAGCTATATGGTTTTAAGGACAAAATAAGAAAGAACCCGATTTTTCGCTCCCTTTCCCCCTTGCAATATCACAAAATAATTCGACACGACAAGATATAATTAGTCACCCGAAACGGGATCGTAACCTGTTTAGTCTCGTGTGTTTTTGTAGCTGGAAACAGTTAATTTGCAATTTTTCTGAAATTATAGGTCATGTTTGAGATATACAGGTACAGGAGATTGGTTATGAAAAATACACCCTTGCGCGTATACATATATATTTATAGGCAGCATTAAAATTTCATTAATAGTTGAGAAATAGAAATTATGTTAGTAATATTTGTGTTGATATAAATTGTCTCCTGAATTCTGACATGTAATTGGCATGGTTGCCAACTTAAAAATGCTTAAAAAGCAAAATACTATTGATTCAACCTAACAGTACAACTTTATAGCAAAAAATATTTCTGAATATCTGACTTGAAATTAACAACACTGTCATGGTAACAAACTGCATGTGTTCTTACATTTCAGCCAAATCCAACTTAGAACGTCTTCACAATATGACCGCGTGCACCCACTAAGAAAATCTCAATTTATGTAAAGCTAGTTTTTGGTATGTAGACACAGATTCGAGACTGCCCCAATAATAATCTTCAACACATGTAAAATACTATTCTGAAATATACTAAACCCCACGTCGTAAACTTTAAAATGACAAGACCAATCTTAGTAAGGATCTATTTTTCAGATTCTAATTAAAACCATCATAATAAGGAAATCTAATGAACAAAGCTAAATCACCCCTGGCAACACCGAGCAACTGTGTACTGCTTCCTTAATTAAGTAATTATTTCTCTTATATTGGTTTCGAAGCCGTATAATTAATAAAACTATCCCCATGAAGCGATTCGTGTTTGAAGGGGGTGGAGTATATTTTGTGCAGTCGCTCTGATTTCTGAATCGAAATATACACAATTCAGGAATACTTAGCAATTCATACACTGTGGAATGTGAAATCGTTTTTCCTTCAAACACCTATACCAAACCCGATTCACACCTATTCACAAAAACCGTAAATTTGACATAATGCATTGAAACATGTGAATATAATATACATTTTCGAAATTTGAATGAAATTTGTGAAGCTGATAGTGAGGTTTAAAGAAGTACTTTTACTATATTTACGTGGCTGCAGCAAGGCAAGTGAGTAATATTTGACAGTGAAGGTCGGTCAGTCATGTTTTAGGTGTACCATCTAAACTAGAGGCAAGAACGAGACCTTAATATACAAACAAAAGAATTAATTCCTTCATAACAATTTTTTAATGAAAAATGGTAGATGTCTCTTGAGTGCCTAACTCATTAAAGGAAGGAGGTGCATGTTGTATATTCTAAATATGCTTCTGTGATCCTGTCAATAAAGTTATAGAACAGCAGTGTAAATAATCACACGGTTTTCTTAAGAAATAAGTGTTTAAATGTTTGCCGAAACGTAAATAAGTTACCTGCTCAAAGATGAAGGATATGTTGGCGTAGCCCTTTTCCCCTACCACACCAATTCATTGTTAATCAGTGAGAAATAGAAATGAAATTTTAAAAACTTCCCTTTTTTGTCCTAACTATTTCAGATGTACAGCTCGTGCAATCAGGGTACACCTCCGCGAAGGAAAATGCTCTTCGGACTCTATTGTTCACTACAAACAGCTACCAGATACAAGCTAGACCAGCTTCTAAAGTAGACGTCAACATCACATGCAATGTATTAACTTTCAACTCCCTGGTAAGTACAAAATACAACGGTGTCTATATAATAGAGCATGAGTTCCTATCACTGTCATGTCGTAACTATTAACTCTAGATAAAGTTGTAAAGTCAATATCACTGCCATGTCGTAACGTTCAACTCCCTGGTTAGTACAATGATATCTAGATAAAGTTGTAAAGTCAATATCACTGCCATGTCGTTACTTTCAACTCCTTTGTTAGTACAATGATATCTAGATAAAGTTGTAAAGTCAATATCACTGACATGTGGTAACTATTAACTCCCCTGTTAGTACAATGATATATAGATTAAGTTGTAAGGCCAATAACACTACCAATGACATAAGTATTAGTCCTAATAAGAATCATGCAAAGAAAGATTTATGACATGTCACAAAATTACTTTTGATCGGTTTCTGTTCAGAGATAATAAGCATGTACTAAGATATGTTTTATCCCAAGAAAATATGCTTGTTCCGATGGTAACTATGGGGTTGAGATTTGAAGTGCAAGTGATCACTATGGTACTTGACAGTGTCTGCTATCTGTCTGTTGTTCTTTGGTCCAGCGTCCTTAACCAACTATTCAAGAACCAATGGGCATCGAGATAATTTGTATGTACCATGTTCTCGGTACAGTTTTACCCGTTTAAAAAAATAAATGACATTGACCCACTTTTTAAGCCTTATGAGTCAAATGTGTGAAGATCTTAGATTAGAATTAAGACAACAGGTCATTAAATGACTGATCCTGATAAACTCACAAAGGCCACAACTTAAACAAATACGGAATAAAAATGTACAATGTACATGTAACCACGTTACTTACAATATAACATATCTTAAAGTTTATCAACTTTGACCAGTCATAGGAACACATCTTAAATGAAATGTCAGTGATGTCGGGACCTGCTCAGAATGTTTTACATAAAATTTAGTACCATGGTTACACTTTGTACTAAATATCATATCTTTAGCATAAAGCATGTTACAAGTCACTATATTTTGTTATCTACAGTTTATAATTTTAGATAAGTATTTATATTATTTGGTATTGATTTAACAGTGATGTCATTGGGCATCTGAATATGTATAGCATTAGTATGGTTCATTCACTTTAAGGGTTATCTTAAAATCGTCATCTAGTTTAGATGTTGCTATCCAGAAATGGAATATTCACAATATTATGTTTGTCATAAAGTAGAAAAGGTGGCCGTGTGTTTAATTTCTAATTTTCTTTATAGATAGACTTTGTCTTTTGTGATAGTAACACATATTCCTTTTCTGATATCATTTTAGAGAGGTTTTAGGCCTGCAGCATCGATAAAATGTAATTTTTCAGCCAAAACACTTAAAGTATTTTGAGGAGTGAAAACGAAATCGACAGTATTTGATTTCTTTTCATGATTATCATTTTTATGTTTTGTCTTGACACGTTTTTGAAATCGTCTTTATATATCATATTGCATCCTCTGGCATATGTATTGATAATACAGGAAATCTTAGGAAAAAATATCGTTTTTTTTCTCAAATCAATTATTACCATTCAAAACATAGTATTTTTGTTTCAAATTGATGAATTATGCGATGCTATCATATATATTGTTGTAAAACATTAGAAGTATTTTACTGTTTGCTTAATCTTGATTATTGTTATCTCGTTTAATTATTTTTTTTTATTAGGATGTCCGAGCTCAGTCCTTGACCACTACTGGCTACTTCGATCTGGTAAGTGGACGCAAACCACTGTACATGCGTCACTATCTGATGACTTTGAATGTGATGAAGCATATAACAATGCGATGAAAATAAAAGCAAGCACAAATACAAACAAGCATAATTTATCTACAGTAATATGAAAAAAGTAATTTGGTCTCTATTTGTGGCAACGTTGAGCATATAAATCACAATGTGATAGTCATCACCAGAACGCATTTAGAGCGCAAGAAGAACCTACCAGTCATTCTTCAAAATAGCATCAAACTTTTGAAAAATAAGTTAGAAAAAACCTTTAGCAGTCAACTTAAAAAAAAATATGATCAATCATAATATTTCCCTAAGTACAGCATGCTCACCTATTACATGTCTTTATGTTTCAAGTTTCAATAAACTCTTTGAAATATCTAAGTCGATGGATAGATGGGATACGGAATCCCAAAACTCTTTCGAGACTTTCATATCACTCTTTTTAAAGCTCATGATAGTACAAAAGACACTTTTATATACAAATTCAGAGTTAGATACAGTAGAGCCAAACATTGAATTAAAATTAATCATACAGCTGTTTCGTCCTTCCAGGACTTGTCAGTAATGCTAATGGATCAAATATTGAAGCCTGAGAGGCGACTGAGGAAAATCCTAAGTGATCGATAGAAAAGTCAAAATCAAGATGGGGAAACGCACTTGTCATGATTCAATAAATAACATGATTTTTTTTACATCAGATAATTTTAGAGCAGTGTCAAGTACATGTTTACATTCTGATCCGTGCCACCATTCGGCTGTGAAGATATGAAATAATTGCACATATTCAATGATATTCCATCTCATTCAATGTAACATATTTTGTATAATGCTTATCAATTGTTGGACATTTAGTATAAGGTTAGTTTATCATAACGAATATTGATAATCATGACATGGAAGTAAGATTTTACATAATCTACATTTATAAAGTTTTGATGTTTATGTTATAGTCCTGGTCTGATGCAAGACTGAGCTGGAGCTCAAACTCGGCATATAATAATGATATATATGCTATATATTCTGATGAAGATACAGTATGGCGACCACCCCTTATCATGTACAACTCGTAAGTATTTCAGTTAAAACTCTACACACTTTACTGAATGCATTAGCACAATCATGAAAACTATAACACAAATCATTAGCATACGTATTAGCGTGCTTGCCTGATTATCAACTGCATCTTGCAAATACATTTTCATTTGCATGTATATTTCTAGGGTAAAAGATATTTCTGTAATGAGTGACGATGCAATACCATTGCGTGTTCAACAAGATGGCACTGTTTCATGGACACCCTCAGGAATATACGAGACTATGTGTGAGACAGATGTGACTTTTTATCCATTTGATACTCAAGTGTGTGACATTACTGTAAGTACATGGGGTTATACTTCAACTGAGATAACTTTAAATCTGCACACACCGCCAGTTGATACTACGTATTACACGGAAAACGGAGAATGGGAGTTCAATACATATTATACCAGCTCTTCAACGAAAAGCCGACGCGGGAAATCGTTTTCATCAGTAACATTTCATATGAGTCTAAAACGACGGCCTATGTACCATGTTCTGAACACTTTGATCCCGACAATTTTATTGGCGTTTCTGAGTTGCCTGGCGTTCAAACTGCCACCTGATTCGGGTGAACGGATTGGCTACTGTCTAACTGTTCTGCTGTCCTACGCTGTATATTTGACTCTCGTGTCTACGATTATCCCAACCACATCTGTCAACACATCCCTCCTGTGTAAGTGACATAAATACGTTATCATTTTCTAACAAGATTACGTGTTATCTGTGTTCTTTAACAAGGTGTTAATTTATAATTAAAATTCGGGCACATAGTAGTTTGCTTTAACTAAATAAACAATTAAAAACAACATAATAAGTTGTCTTCGAAGGCGTTTCTTTAATAAAGTGATAAGATTTTACTTATTATTGTATTAATCGAGTTTAATAACGTTAACGTAAGTGTTTATTATATAATTTTCAAAGTGATACTTTTTCTGAACATGTTATTCATACTTATCTATCAGTGTAATACATGCTTTCAACAACGCAGTAAAAGTAGTTGAAAACCCCCTTTGACTTGTGAATATGCTTTAACGAAATCTATTACAAGACGAAAGGTCTTGATCAAGGAAATACTACCTCGTTTGGCTGTTTAATACATAAGAAGCAAATTAACTTCATAATATCAAGTATTATCCTTCCTGTAACTAAACATCCCTCAAGATTCTTTCCGAATCGGAGGGTAGTGTATTGTAAAATAATTCATTTTCGTGGTGGATTTACCATCGTCGATTTGGAATCCATGAATTCATATATCCACGAACTGAAAGAAAATTCTCTTGAGCTATAATTAATAACTATCTACACAATCAAATGTCAACGAAAAAGTACTTTTGTTAAAAACCGCGAAAATGAGCCTCATTAAATTATGTGATTTTACAGTATTGCTTATTAAAGGAATGTCATTTATGGGATAAGTTTTCAGAGTAATCATTGCAAATGTGCAGCTATATCATTGCGATAATTTGCTAGAATTTGATTGTGACAATATAACTACAGTTTTTATATAAGCGACAATTTTTTAGTATTAATGTGTGTGTTTCTTTGTTTGTTTCAGCCGTATATCTCGTGTTTATTCTGGCAATGGGCATGGTGTCCGTTTTATTAACAATTATAGTACTGGAATGCCATCACACCGATCCGGATACCGAAATTCCAAAATGGATTATTAAAACGTTAAACATCCTGATGACGGTCACTTTCCAGGAAAAGAAAACAAAGTCTTCCTGTTGTTGTTCACCCAAGCACGGAGGAAATAATGTTGAAAGTTTGGAACCACAAGATCTGCAACCAGACGACAGTTTATCCACGGGGAGTAACAAAGTCCTATACACTAGGAATTCTACAGCAGATACTAATTACACGTGGATAGAAATAGGCCAGCGGTTAGATAAAAGTTTTCTACGGCTATTTTTATTCATTGTTCTGATATCGACGTTGGCTTTTACAGCGGGTCTTGGCATTGGATACGCCACTAATTAACAGTACAATTTCAGGAAGCGATTGCTGCAGATTGCAAATGTGCTCAAGGTGATTCCCAGTTAATATTCAATATCTAAATTTATTAATCAATCATGGTAACATTCCACTTTATCGAAAATAATGCACATTTGTGGTTGTATAAATACATCGTTTAAGACATATTTTAGGGAGTTACTATTGCGCTCAGAGAGCTTGAACGTCTATAGAAGTAACTTTGAAATTATCTTTTTGTAAGTGATAGAAAACATAGAAAACATGAAGAAATAAGTGACATCTAACTAAAAATAATTCATAACCTATTCAAACATATAATGTGTTCCCCCAAACACTACTAGGTATGATTTTCAGTTGAAGTAACGAAAAAACTTCATATATCCAATTCATAATGAACAAACAATATCTTTTAAATGAAAGGATAATTTTATTATTATTTTTAATATAAATATTTTAATATATACCTAGTTAGACAGTTAGATCTGTATGTACTTTTCAAGGATGTGGGTTTCTAACCATATTGTTCAAAATCCACTTGTCTGCTATTTCAAATAATATGTTTATTTTTTATTTTTTGTTTTTTGTTTTTTTGTTTTTGTTTTTTTTGTTTATAAAATAGCTTTCATCGCAAACGTTCGGATGCATAACGTGCGTGCCTTCATGTCTTAAACCGAATAGGTCTCGTGACAATTTCGTGACACGTTAAAAAAGTGTAAAGCTATCTATGAATAGGCATTTCACAAGTGTCTATACACTTAAAACGCCACTACCATCACCATATCGCAATCTGACGGCGTCAAAATTTCCTGCCAGTCACGTTACTTCGCACGAGTTGGGTTGGGTCGCTTCTGAACATCACTTTCATTCAGCTGAGTACACCTCTTTAACAGAGACTTTGCCTTATATTCTATGTTCTTCCATATTTCTGGTCCAATGTATATATTTCATGAGAGCTCTTTCAATTACTGAACTGTTAAAGCTAATAACGACATTTTGTGTGTTATTTATGTGTATGAAAGTAATCTTTGTTAAATTCGACTCTAGATCGAAACTAATTACAAAATTATTACATCATTGATATATGACAATCAGATTATGTGTGGTTTTATATGATGAATGTCATACCATATTTATGGCAAGCAAATATATTTTTTGCATCAACCAGCAACATTTTCTGTTGGAGTATGAATACTCCCATTCATGTATGTAGGCAAAACATTTTAGTACGTGAAGCGTATTGGTTTATCATTTTCTAAATCCATCATAAAGTATTTTCCTGGCTTAATTACGAGTTATAAAATGCCTTCGTGATTATTTGTGTGTAATCATAGTTTAAAGCTTAAATACGATATTAAAAACAAAATGAAAACAATAATTCATAGTCTTTATTATCAACAATTCTAGCATGATAAATAGAACACATAATTAGTTTATTGAAATATAAGCTGTATTTCTGTTTGCCGCTAACCCCCGTTATAAATTATCTTTGTCTCCAAAAAGTATCATATCCTTTTCTCTATGTTTGAATGGCACATCAAAACTATAAAATTTTCCAACCAGAGAACGTAGGATGTGATAATGTGTTTTCGCTTTTTATTGTTGTACTTCCCGCACCACGGAAGATGGAACCAACACGAATAAACACATGATCCCCATTCATTACTTCTAAAACTACTAATTGCATACTTTGGTGATAGTCGTTGATTTCATCAGAATCTGTGTAAGAAGACCCCCTGACCACTCCGTTCACAATCAGCTGGGTTTGGAAAGCTTTTCTTATTTCACAAAGCATCGTCCATGTGAAAACGTAGGTTCCCGACTCTGGTACAACATAGATTCCGTCCTGAGGAGCATATCCATTTCCTTCGTCTAAAGACTCTTGATCAAACACAACTGCGGCTTTTATTCCAATAGTTACAGTTGAGCTGAGATATGCGTGAAAGGCAATAGGCTGTGAAGGCGGTGATACAGGAACACCTGAAACAAACACATAGGTATCAATAACGCTAGAAATCAAACTTGGGACCTCTTGTTTACTATTTGTAAGGCTTAACAGATTGAGCTTGAGAAACATTTCCGCAAGGCAATATTGTAGATATTAGTAAAATTAACTATTCTGTTCACATTCTGGTGTCTTGTTATTTATATTGTACTTTGTATTATTTTGTATTATTGCCTTTACATTGCTGTCAATCTTCTACAAGTTATTTCCATGTATCTTTTAATTCACCCGGGTGTAAAATGAACTCACGGTTTTGTTTTGGTGTCAGTTCGTCTAAAGGAAGACCTCCATGGAACGGGTAATTGTATTCGTTTCCAACATCGGGTGAACGTGAATTAGGGTGAGGGTTACTTCGAACATCGTCAAGGCTACTCCGAACGTCATCAGGTTTATCAAGAAATCTGCTATTGTCAAAAGAGTTATGCAAACCCTCGGGAAATAATGAATCAAATGACAAACTTTCATTGACAGATGAAATGCCTGTGCCTTTCTCTTGGTCTTCGAATACACGATTCTTCAAATTTTTAACTTGTTCTGCAAAATTGTTAAAAACACTGTCTTTGCGAATCATGAAGTGCTCAATTGACATAATGTTCCTTTTTATCTCCGTCATTTCAACCCTCTGATCTTGAATCTTTCCCAACAGTTGGTTGATAATTTCGTCTTTGGCAGTCAAAAGATTTTCCAGGTTGTCGAGTTTCTTGTTAACGAAATTTCGCCATTGGTAGTCCTGACTTTCATCATGTAGTACATCAGGGTGAACTTGCCCAGAGACGCTGGATAAGCAAAATATCAAGAGAGGCACAAAATACATGTTGTGCCTTACTGCAATAGCATATGTTAATATGTAGTGACAACTCATCACATCTATCTCTTATCTCTAATAGGTCACACACACACACACGTATATATATATAATGGCCTCCAACAACTCGCCAATTTATGAATGTTGAGTTTGTAAATATGGGAGTTGATGCTATAAAAATCAGCAATATTTTACACCAGAAGTCTGTTCAGGCTAACATTCCACCACACTTTTACAGTGAAACTCACCTGTAATTTCCTACAGTTACTCTAAGCCCAATGTATCCGAACTTTTCAACTACAAACAAACGATGCAGCAACTGAATGTAGATAACCTTCGAACGTCAGCTTGTTTTTGTTCTACCAATACTTATAAATATGGTCCAACTCGGCACATAGTAACTGGTGATTGAAGGATTATTCAAAATGTTAAACTAATAGAGGTTTTCATGAAGGGCCGTAATTCGTCTGTTAATGTGAATTTCAGGATACTTATGGATTCTGTTGAAACGATTCAAGAGAATGGGCGAAACGAGAATATTCTGCATTGGATTCATGTTCTGAGTGGGTAAAGTCCACTTGGTTCATCATTCCTAAAACAATTCGCAGCTTGAAGTCGAAAATGAAAACAAAATACAGATCAGCTTTCTTCTGTCCTTGTATCCTGATGTTAAACCCAAATTTCAAGATTTACATTACAGGTATGTCATTTTGCCTGCAGATAAGGCGTCCAATAACTTGATCCGTGTCAGCAAACATTATTACATTTCCTGTATACAAAGAGAACAGGGCTTGCTTGATAAGGAAGGAAACCCCACCTACACATTACGAAATCTTTCAAAAGACATAATACTAGTTAATCATGTTTCGGTATTACAATCAGTTAGATTGTCCATTAATGATTATGGCCGATCTACAATTTCGTCTATAAGAACATATGATTTTTCCACTCTGTACAACACTATACCCAATTCTAAACTGAAGGAACGCCTTCGTTCTCTTGTCAAGAAAGATTTCTTCTCCAAGAAAGGTGAGTGGCGGTATAGATATATACTTTTGAAATTTACTGAAGCGTATGTCGTAAAATACATCCAAATCATAGAAGAAATGTACGTAGGACGCCATTGTAATAAGGTCGAGTTTTGGTTGACAACATCTTCGTTGGGTTTGGTGATAATATCTGCCAACAAACGATAAGCATACCTGTGTGAACCAACTTTGTACCAATGTTAGCCGTTTTTATCTTGTTTTCATACGTGACGGAATTTGTTGAAGAGCATATCAAACAGGTCACAGAAACCCTGCAAAGTCCATCGTATATATCCACTAAATTGGAAATCAAAGATACGTCAGACGTATCGCGATGTTTTCCTACAACGAAACCAACATGGACAACTTTCCATCAAGCTGTATGATAAATGTGATGGTTTTAATTTCCGTATTGTGAATTTTCCATTTCGGGATAGCAATATCCCTGCATCTCCAACCTATGGTATTTACATATCACAGTTGATTCGATACGAGGATTCAAAAGATGAAGGTTGATGAAAATTATGGGGAAGTTAAATGGTCGCCATAGTGATTTCTTTGTGCGACATGAAGCTGAACGTAATCAATGCTCGTTAGTTTGCCTGTTGGTTCTATTGTTGTATACCTTGTTCTCATTTGAGAACGTGACAATACTTACTTGACAAGACAGCTGTCGTCGATGAAGCAGAAGCTCTTTTTGAACTCCTGGTCTTATTTTCCTTGTACTTTTTCAGGGGTTTTGACGTTGTTACTAAAATAGTTATGCAAACTTCAAAATATTATAATTAACAGAAAATACACAATTTTAACAGACATTAAAATGTTATACTAAATTATGAAATGCAATTTAACAATCTAGTTCATTTAAAGTAATATTTGTTATAAAACACCCGTGCAGAGCTCTGATTGGCAGAAATTGTTTCTGATGTGGTACATACATATGTAGGATCCTGGCGTCAGATACACGATTACGTTATCAACTAAAAAAAATACCTATACAATAAACAAAGGCACAATGACGTCACTTCAGAATACCGAAATGTAGTTTATAATCACAATATCCGGTATAACGTATTAGGATGTAAACAAAGGTACAATGATGTTACTTTAGAATATAACACTGTTGACAAGTGAAACATATTCAGATATTAAAGTACGAGGTGACATCGCTTCAAAATATGAAAATGTAAACAAGTCCCAATATCCCCAGTGAAAAAAATATTCAGGTATAAATAAAGACAGCGTGACATCAATCCAAAATGTTATAATGTAAGCAATAGTCATAATATCATCAGTTAAAAATATTCAATTATAATCGAAAAGGCACCATGACATTGCTTCAAAATATGAAAATGAAAATTGGTCCTAAGATCACCAGTTAAAAATATTCAGATATGGATAAAGACACCGTGACGTCTCTTCTAAACTTTAAAATGTAAATAATAGTCATAATATGACCAGTTTGAATACTCAGATATAAACACAGGCACCCTCACATTACTTCATAATATCAAAATAAGGAATCAGCAACAAACATAATGTCACCAGTTTAAAACCTTGTACGTCAACATCCCATAATATGATACATGCTATCGAGGCCTCCGTGCGATAGAACATACTCGGGTTTACAAATTATCTACAAAATAGTATAGATGTTATTGACAATTGAGAATGATCTACATATATACTTCATATATTCCATAGTATAGAAAAATATACACATTCAAATACATATTCCCAATATCACGATTTACATGAGAGATGTCCACAGTAGACAGATATACTCCCAATACATGGTTCAGAGAGATGTACATTGATATAGACAAAACAATCCTACAATCGCTACTATGTTTCGTTACCTACGACATACTGAAAGCGAAAATAATGTCATAAAAAATCTTAAACAAATAAATCAAAGTTTGCGTCAATATAATCCAGTAATAATCCACTTATGGTGATTAACGAGTCTGATGGTCCAGCCAATTTAATCATTAATCAGAATCAGAGACTCAAACAATGGCTGTACGCTGAACTTGCTGGTAGAACACGTTTTCTCAGCATGATGTGGCCAGGCGTGGTATAAGTTTCCAGAGTAACGAAGCCCCGTCACTGACCCTATCACCTACGGAAAGTCATTCCGTATGTATAATCTACTTTGTTGAAAGGAGATAAAATCCCAAACATATCTATACCAAATAAAAACTTTGAATTAAATTTTGATTTCAATTATCTTTAGGCTATAATACCACAACACAAATTTGTGAAGAGAAGAGAACCTTAATATCATCTGCCGTTGGGATATATAACGCCATTATTATACTGATTCAAGCGTATTTAAATGATATGTCACACACCCTCGCATACTCATAATATATAATCTGTTTTCGTCTGCTTTCTAGACTTATGTCACCCACGGCCACATATGCACTCACCAAGATCATTGACCTATCAGCTTAATTAGTAGTGTCGATTCACATGCCATATATGTGTTGTTATCTATAGATAACTCTGTATGTTGTGTAACACTAAATTGATTTTTATCTTTGCAATGTAGGGCACTTATTTGAATCATTATGCAAATTAGACAGCGAAATATTTAAATAGTCTATATTGTCATACTTAGAATCATGAAAGCATTATGAAACCAGTTTTAACATATGAAATATGATGAAGAGATAACCTTACATTAGTCTCGATGTAATTTGGCATCAAATGAATTTTTTCAATAATTTGAATTGTCTCGAAATAATCGTATCACACAAATGCAAGATACTATTTATCATATAAGAGGTATTTTAGTAAAAAGAAAGGAAAACTCAAATTAATTTTCCTAGAAGAAGACTCATTTCTTCTCGAACGGTACGTGCTTTCCCTAACGAGACAATTATATGACGTCATCAAGATGTGATTTATTTATGACGTCACAATAGAGCTATTATACGTGTCTTTCGATGTCTATGATGTGGCTGAATGACCCGATTCATATGTACAAGGGACCAGTGATGTAATAGATTTTCCATTCTACTAAAAATACAGAAGGTCTCGGTATTATAGCAGAAAAAAAAGACATATTCATACGAGTTATAAAACTATCGTATATCGTTTTATAGTAGTTTAATCATATTTTATACAAGAATAAACCCGTTTAGTCTGTTTACCAATGGATTATGTTCGTCATGTATCAAATCATTTAGGTTTCTGATCTTATCTATAAAAAAACAGTAAATACAAAACAGCTGACGTATGTAATGAACAAATTTATTTCTGTGGTTATACCAATAAATAAAACGTACTATTTACTTATGTCTCCGCTGAGTGTTTCCCACTTGTAAGTTACACACATTCCATAGGAAATACCTACTTAAATATCAATCAATCATGGCTACGATACCCCGTATGGGCCCCATTTCGACTTGTAATCATAAACATGATTGACAAATCGCTGTCGACCTGGGCATACAACATGGCTGACTCAGAACTAAACAGTCGGTCGTTGCAAGATGTTGGTTTAGCGACTTCACCGAGTGAAAAAAACAGCGATGGTGGTGGATTTGATGCTAGCGACGGTAAGAAAGTTTTACTTCAATAACTAGAGATAAACATGTGTAAAATTGACATTATCCCACGAAATACGGACCAATCATTGTGAATCATGATAGCGGCCTCAGGCTCAAGCATAACTATTCTATAGGGGGCTCCCCAAGGGTAGCCGAACCTATCGATTAAATCCTGTTTTGTGAATTTGTAATGTTTAGAAAAAATAACTCGTCGTTCTTTTCTTAGACTGGGTTATTTTTACAACTTTTAATATTATTAAGTTAATGGTTGACCTATGCCCGTGTGCTCTAGAGTGTCAGGATTAAAATTCGATCGCATGAGTGTAGGATGTATCGACTGCATGACCTAGATATCCGTGACATGGCAGCTGTATGCGAGCGTAAACTGTGCTCCATTAATGCAATGCTACGGTTTTTCCTGTGATTATTAGTGTATGCTATCACAACGAACGTGGCAGGAGTTATCGAAGCTCAAAAATGTTAGCTGTATACTGTTTTGTTGGTCCAGTAAAGCCTGAGCTTTCTATCATTATCTTATTATGTGTAGACGAGAATGATGTCATTAGAATGTCGGTGACAAAGACGTTCGACGCCGGACAAGGAAGCTATTTTTTTTATTCTTCCTCGTTTTTATTATTATTCAAAAATTCTTGTTGTTGTTTTATTTATTTTTTACTACATATATTGTGAATGCTGTTTGCAAATCCAATAATTGGAAAAAATCGTACATATAATTATTTACCCCTATAAAATACAACACTTTCAATATTTTTTTACGAAGAAAAAAATGGTCTGTGTGCTAGTATTTGAACAGTCCCATCCAGATTTCCTTTTATATAATACCAGAGACATATATATATATATATATACGTCTCTGATAATACTGGGAAATCCCATTAATATCTTTCCCATATTCATGAACATCGTAATAAATAGAAACATTATCTGACTAGAATACATCATTATTGATCTGTATCAGATTTAATTGATAAAGTTTATCAGCTTATCCTATTATTTACCAATTTTACTATTTTGAAACTAAAGATTCTTTTATTGATCTCCAGCTGTGTATCATTGATCGATGAAATACAAAATAAAAAATAGTCAAGGCCCTTTCCGGAACTATCATGCAGCTAAGCACCACAACTGGCACGCTGTCCTGTAGAAAGCCAAATCAACATTTAATGGGCAATGTCGGTCTTACATTTCATCGATTCGTACAAAATACATCGTTTATCACATACAGAATTTAACTAAGAAATATCGAAGAAGTAAATAGTACACATATATCTTGTTTAATGGTGTTGCATTTGTCAATATTTTCCTATCTGATATCCCAGAATTACCATCCCTCGCTTCACACTGTCTGTAAAGATGGTACATGTATAACGATAAGCGTGACAGTCGATGGGGACCGAGAACGTATTTCCCTTGCAGGATTATAGATCATCGTGTACAGGTCGATATATAGCGTATGAACGCAATGTTTCTAATTTTAGAACATCCGGACCATATGGACTCCGCAATATGATATAAGTGCCTTAGATGATAATTTGTAACATTTTTTTTCAGGCATTTAACTTGTTACAATGTAACATTCCGAGTGCTCTGTTCAGAAATAAAATACATTTGATGAATATTATGTATTTGTCGGAATGTTCTCAATTTAATATGTGGTATTTCATGAATATATTAAAGTCAATTATCAAATTACCGTAAAATATATACTATTAGAATTAAGGATCATCGATATTTTCGGTCGATATGGTGTTGTACCAACCTTGTAGGATAACACCATGTTGATAGATCTTCCATAATTTCTAATAGTTAGTTATCACACTTTATTCAAAGACTCGCATAGACGCTATATCAGACAAGTTCGTGGCTCAGAATATCAAAGTCGGGATCAAGGCACCGTTACTATTTACAGAAATTGGTTTAACATTGATATTGTCAACACACATAGTTTTGAATTGATAAACTAAAATTGTCAATATCATTCACATGAATTTTAAATCGAAACTCTCGGTATTTAAAACATTATTTCTAGATTGCAGTTCATGTCAAATTATCAAGCATGTTTTTTCTTTTCTAACTCGGCGAATATCAGTTTTAAAACGTGTTCGGTACTTTTTTCCTTATGCTATTCTAGACATCTTATGTTGATCATCTTTTATTTGTTTGTTCCTTAAAAAGGAAGCTATGATGTAATAAGATGTTTTGTTTTCTGTTCAGAACCAGTGTTTGTAAAGACTGAAATGATACAAGGAGACGAAAGCAATGGTAAGGAAATAGCCCTTCTTAACATATAAAGTTGTGTAAAAATATGGAAGCAAAACAGTAAAAAAGTATTCTTTAGTATTTAGGGACTGTGATGAAGTACCACTATGACGAATCATGCCAATAATACAGGTGTTGAAGTATCAATGGTGGCTTGGTAGACCGACAGAGATCTAAAAGTTGTAAGAATTTGTCACTGATCCATTTGTCTGGTCTTGATAAAGTATGTTTAAATCATATATTAATAACTATTTTGTAAGGAAAATAAGCATCTGTTCCACTTTTTAAATGTGATTTAAAAAGCAAAACTTAAAAACAGTAACGACAAAAAGCTAAAACACAAAAGAAATGAACAATTACATATTAAACAAAAATATTTCATATTTTTTCAGAAGCTGTTTCCTCGGAGCTCAGTTATTATCCAGCTAAAAGACAAAGGACCTACTTCATGGAAAATCATTTGAATTCATCAGTGACAAACATCCCACCGGAAACTCAGCATCCGACGGTTTCTTCATTCGATGATTCGTTTGATCGCCCTCTGGTGATCGTTGGCGATAGTAAGTGGACATCACCCGCGACAGCTCTCCTGTTGGACCTATACATACAAAACGAGGATAAATTTAACAGTCCTCATATTAAGAAAAAGCTCTTATGGAGAAAAATATCGGAAAGATTAAATGAAGCTGGTCATATGTTTGACTCCGACAAATGTGAACGGAAATTTCTTAACTTAAAGACAACATACAGATACACTGTTGATCATAATTTACAAACAGGCAACCAAAAGCGTTGTGCGTTTTATGATCAACTAGACAGTATTTTTAAGTTCCAAGCATCAGCTGAGGCATCTGCCTTTTACAAAGACAATGCTAATAACAAAGACGACGCTATCGACACGTCTTCTTCTCATACCAATAGACCGCTACCTCCTCCCGATAGAGGGAGCATCATGCACGCGCCTCATCCCGCATTTCCAGTCATGAAGAGTGATACATCATCAATTCATTCAAATGCGCAATATATGAACAGACTCACAACAGCCGTGTCTGGAGTTAGGTCAAACCATTCTGTTTCCATGGGAACCAGACATGATCCAGCACCAGTTTCGCACCAGAGTAGTCCCGCACTGAACGTTTCATCACCTACTGATAACTTCAATCGTCAGCATTTTCCACGGTTTCCTCAGACACCATCACACCGTACTGTCAGCGGACCTCCTGCAACCCAACAGAACCATGGCAACAACAGTAACGATAGCAGTCACACACGGCGACCACCAACTTATGTCGTCGATGACAATGGACAACCCGAACTTCCGAGCTCATCGGGGAGTACGGATGAGTCCGAGACCTCCCGATTTCAAAGAGGACGAAAACGGAAACAGACAGAGTTAGATTATCTATTGGCCACTTTTGAGCGTTATTGTGACGAGCAGCGTGACAGGGAGGAAAAACGCTTGAAATGTATGAAGGAGTGGCATGATGAGGAAATGAAAGTTATGAACAGATTTCTTGATATCATTCAGCAAAGCATTCAGTCCGGAAAAACTTAAATCTTGATCATCCATTTCGTGTAACACTCTAGTCAAGAGTCAGTCTGTGCTGTCCATAGTGTGACTTGTAAGTAATCATATTACTACAAGTCACTAGCAATAAACGGGTCTTTATTTTGTCGCTAAAAACTGTCCCAGGATTGAAGCTTTGTATTTTTATTATGAACATGTCATTGCATTTGTACACATTAGCTGTATTTCAAACTACAAGTCTTCATTTTCGCATAATGTTTATATCTCGAGTAACGAGCTTCATAAATACACTTAAATGGAAAAAGTTTTATTTTGTGAAATTCTTTCCGTCACATTCAGTCTAAGACTCCACTGTAATATTTCGATTCTGTCGATCTGATCAACCATTTGAAATTCCCTAAATTGTCATATCGATGTCAGTACGTCATACTGACATCTGCTTGAATTCTAAAACCATTTGAGATTAACAAATAGAATTTTAATCAAAATTAAATGATTAGGCAAGAGTGCTGCATGTAGGTTAATTTTTATTTTTCTTGAAGCTAATTTTGATGTTCACTTCGCGTCTGAAAACTTTTTTTCTTGTTAATTTCCCAAACAATGATGTAGGATTTCCTGATTTTTCTTAGATAATTCTGGTTATGTATACATGTAAATTTCTTAAATCTAGGGCCTATTTAAGTCGCAGTCCCAGCGATATACAAATACTGTATAATTCATAACACGGATCTATGTCAACTTAATCCCAGCTGCAATTTAGAATGCAAATAACAACATGTTTGTTTTTTGCAAAACGAACAGATCAAGGTCACAAGAAGTAACATTTTGAAAATTTAATTTCAAGGGGGAATCTTGAATAATGAAAAGTGTTCGTTCACTGCGGTCCATGGTAGCAATGCAATGATCTGGGCCAGAGTTGTTTTCCTGTGGTGTGTGTGGTCAGAAGTGAACCTATCAAGATGGCGTAACGAAACTCACTGTCCGGTCATACCTACACTCTGGCCGCAGTCATTTAAATCCCGTGAGTTGCGAAACATCGAAAAATCCAGTTGATACTCGAGACGACGCCATTTTTAAAGTCCCTTCCGGACCACCTACACGACAGTGGGATTTCATACATACACCAGAAAGATCAAATAAAATGAAAATAATCGCATGATTTCAGTGAACTACCTAAAAGTGAGGCATAATATTTGAAAACTGTAAATGTGCAGTAATATGTTTGATGATTTTTGTACATTTTTTTGAGTTGATACTAACAAAAGACCGTTATTTTTTATTGAATTACTCTCACGATGCTAAAGTTACAAATATTTTGTTTCTCTGATAGACATATACATGTAGTAGTATCATATTTACGTTCTATGTTGTGTTTTCCTGTCATTAGTTTACATCAACAATATAACTAAATTTGAATAAGCAATTTTATTTGTTGTAATAAGCAATTTTATTTGTTGTAATAAACAATGTTATTTTTAAAAAATCATAAAAAATGTTTGCTGTTTATTCTTTGAAGATTGGACTCTATTTCTGGTCGGAGCCATTATTTTAAGGTACGTTATTAGACAACAGCTAAGATTGAACGAAAAACTGTTCGGAGTTTGGACAGTATAAATTTTAATTAAATGTTGCTCGATGGACATTTTTGTCTTTCTTCATCCTTGCCAAGATAGAGCTTTATTTCAAGACACTGACAACGTAATCTCCGTGTAGATCTGAAGAGGAAGGAAAAATATTCCAGCAACTCTTCATGAGTTTAAAAAATGAGTTAACTCCTCTGAGCAGGGTGGCTTCTGCCCATTCACAGAGTCTCGTCCTCTGTAACCTATTCCATACTCTTTGACTTGTGAAATAGTTCACTCACACACTATGTAAGTGATTTCACCTCCCGTCACTTCACGGGGATGGGTTGGATTCAAGTGAGATGCTTGCTGCGACAGCTGCGTATTAATTTGTACATACGGACACCATTTTTCACTGTCGCAGTATTCAATTACACATTACAATCACTGGATTAAAGCCCAGGAAATGGCCCTTTCTCTCCCCTACCCATCCCTACTAAAGTCCTATTTTGCCCATTTAATCCCCGTTTCCATTATCTACCTATACCAAAATCAACATTTACCACGATTCCGTCTAAGAATCAGTTTATATGTAAAACTACTTTTTGCAATAACCCGTTCAAATAACAACCACTCTCCTCACATCCACGCATCCAATCTAGCCTCTAAAAGTAATGCCAGATTGTAGACAATATTCGTGAAGTCACTGTTGGTATGATTGTATTGAAAAAGACTTTGGTAATGAGAAAAATCACAGAGTAGCAGAAAGTTATGGCGTTATGACATAAAGTTACGCGTGGACACCAACATTAACAAATTATAACATGAACACTTTACTTATCCCCAACATCCATTCTGTCGGATGGGACTTAAAATGGTGTCCCGTGTGGAAATGTATAATGCATACATACATGTACACGTTTATGTAGCTTGTTTCCCGACCTTACTTATTATCTTGCCATCGGCCCTATTTTTTTCAAAATTTTGATACAGAAAATAAAACAACAAAAAAAAAAAAAAAAAAAAACACATTCAGACCGGTGTCAAACACTCTCCCGACATCTTTCTTGGAAGAAGGTGGCAATCGTCGTCATGCCATCATTGGATTTGGCAATGAAAATGCATTCACAAATACCAAAGGTCATATAAAGTTTTTCGGCTATGTACGCGTCTGTTATGCATCTCCTTTGAATGTGATCAATCTGCATTGCTTTGATAGATGGAAGCCAAACTTGTATTTGTTTCTTTCTATTCCATTTTTTTTATCCACGTAAACATCTGTCTGAGATCTTTAAACACAATTCATCGACCGTTTGGTGGCAGTACATAAAAGACTGACTTACAAAACTCAGACAGCAAGTTCTAACACAGATTGTGATATTTATCAAGGCAAACATCTTAAAATGCAAACATTCTTGGTACTTGAGAAGTCAGTGTCAAAGCAAGCAAACATTAGTTAAAATTTTCTTATCTTATTTTTTTTTCAGGTGCTAACATGAAACATAGATAATGTTTTTCGGACGCCTAAAGATTCCTCTGTGTATTGACGATGAAGAGTGGGCGTGTATGTTAATACAAACCCAGTGGTCAGGTTAAGATATGTACAGATTAACAGATCAGTGCAGATAACATTTATTATTATGAGACTAGACGAACTTAGAATCAACCTCAACCAAGACAAAAATAAAATCGTGGAGAGAAAGTCAGAGTCCTTCGGATCACGAAAATGCATAGTGTGCTATACCGAATGATTATAGGACAAAAAATACTTTTTTTTCCTGATATCAGCACTTCATGTAGTTGTGACTGGGATAGAGTTTAGGACGACAGCAGACCATGGAGTATTGTTCGCCCCCTTCTCCCCAAATCAGCTGCCCTGTTGAGCTTAGAAATATGTTGAAACGTAGATATTTTATAATAAATAATGTCTTTTCATTTTTCTGCGTTATATTTTTTTCACGAAAATGAGCCGTCATTTTCCCGACTGGTCAACAGCATGCTTCTGGTCAGCAACTCTTTAGAATTACAAAGTCACTCTCTGGGTTCCTGGCCCTCTTTCATTTATTTATTTAGTCAATATTCTAGAATCGCGTTTGAATAAAGAGAAATTATAATGAAATAAAAAAGATATCCGGAACTATAACTCAGTGTCCCGTTCTAAAATTAGTTTTTCAGTGGTATATCCGGTGTTGTTCCGGAGGATTGTAAGAATCAAGAGAATGTCTAATAATCGTCTCAATGAAGATTTCTTCTCGTTCAAGACCAGTGTAATAGATGTGATATGTCATGGTAATTAAGTGCTTTCTTATTGAAGTCGGGAAATATGCAAATATAGTTTGCATTTTTTGCAGGCGTTTCCTGTGCTTCTGTGCAGAAGCATTGTCACCGAGGAATGTGTCATTGTAATCTTAGCTTTTATGCCATGGAGTGGTTACAATAATTGTTTTCATGTCTAAATTTTAATTTTATATGCAGATGGTACGAATGATATGAACCAGACAGTTTTTTTTATCTGAGTTAATCTTACATGTCGCGATGACATTCTCGGTTGAAAGAACCAAGAAAAAAAAACCCCAAAAGATTTTAGTTAGTCATCAAGAGATAAAGAAAATTTGGCATGCTACAGGGATTGATCAATCACGTAATTATTGTGACGTTGAAGATTTGTGTGCTTGTGAATATGACGTCCTTAGGTCCTGGATATGGTGTAACACACTGTTACAGGTATAGAGCTTTGCTCGGGTGCCAAAGTATGCACACCTGTTGCCCCTGCTGAGCTTGATTTCCAAGTCTGAAATGTCCTGAAACATGTATGGCATTGTGTGATTGTGTTGCATTAATGCTCGTTCATTTATCTCAGCCATGCCGAATTATATAATACTGTAACCCAGGTAAAATACTAGCCGCAATATACATTTTGGCTAGAGAACTTCTCTTTAGCTCGATTGGTTGAGTGTCAGACTAGAAAGCCAGGAATCCCAGGTTTGATTCATAGCAGAGGCATTAAAATAAATAAGGACTTCTGTTATATTGGCTCCATGTAGGGATTTGCGAATAGTACTTAGCCATGCCCCACCAGCATCGCTGTAACCCCTGGAAACTTGAGGACGAGTTATTTCCTGGAGGGGGAGTATGTAACCCTGATAAAATACTAGCTGCAATATACCACTTGGCTAGAGAGAAATTCTCTTTAGCTTGATTGGTTGAGCGTCAGACTAGTAAGCCAGGGGTCCCGGGTTTGATTCATAGCAGAGGCATTGAAATAAATAATGACCTCTGTTACAATACATGATTTATACTTTTGCTAATCTGTTACAATTATCACTAAGTTTTCTTTGTGCACATATGTTCTCTTTATCTAAAGACAATAATTGTTCCAATCTTGGAGATCGGTTCTCTCAAAGAGAAGAAGTTTGTGCTTTGCCCACTATAGAAAATATGTTTGTCTCCCCTTTGCTGATCTAAGCTAGCAATTGTTGGGTAGCTGGGTAGGTAGAATATTAATTTCTTTCACTCTGATCTAGAGAACATATTTTCTTGCTAATTTGATATTTGAATAAAATGACTGCATGTTAGTTTTACCCGAAACGAAAGACAATAATTTACAGTTTAGTTTCTTTTTTTACAATCATTTTAAAGGAAACACTAAAGTAATTTTAAAATTTTGATTTTATCAATTTTCATCTGTCATTCTCTCATGAGAAATATGTTTTGTGGACTAGTCCAACACACTTGGTTGTTAATAGATACATATACTTTAGGGTCTAATGTCTTCATGAACAAGATTTCTCTTAGACTTTTCCAGAAAAAATGTCCCGTTATTAAAGATACCACTAACTTGAGTCTTAACATGTGACTTGTGGGGAAGCATGGGAAAAAACCAGCATTAAATAAACATTTCATGCTATTCCGATCTAAGCTACACTGTAATATTTTAACATTGTAACATTGTTATCTCAGGAAATGGAGAACAATCACCAACAGTGAATTCTTTCAAAAATAGATTTGATAGCATTGAGAAAATCAAGAAATTTTATATAATTATCAACCAAATACTCCATAGAGGTTGGAACTGTTGCCACAATTTGTTTATTTATTTTAAGTCTGCTGTAGAAGATCTTAAATGGTCATATGCTGGTGATAAAGTTAACTTTACTTAATCAAGGGGAATAACTCCTATGGTCTTATCCACTTAAATTAGATACAAAGGAAGTCTACCAATATATGCAATTCTTAGTTTTTATTTTTTTTTCAAAATTTTGCTGACATTGGGAATCATTGATCTTTGACCCTGCTATGATGAAGACAGCATTTTTTGATAGTATCATAATTTTTCTATATGCACAGTTACCATCTGTGCGGGTTTATGCATATAGTGTTATAGCTATAACATATATGGTTAAAGCAGCTTTAGATTTAAAGTATGCCACCTAATAAGATTTTGTGACAAGTGCTTTGTTTTCACTATTGCAGTCAACAGGCAGGTACACAATTTCGTCTAAAATGTCCTCCAGTAACGTTATAATGTAGTGATAACATTTGAAAACTTCATACAACAATGGAAATAGTTAAGCTTCTACTTAAAACAATGTTTGGAAAATTTCATGAAAAAATTGTTAATGTATCCCTGACAAGAAAGTAAAAAAATACTTTGTTTTGCTGCATTTTTAATTACTAGGTTGGAAAGGATAAGCAAACTGTTGGCCTTGTCTGAAAGCTGTGAGTCATGGTTAGAAACTGACTATGCACCTCAGTAAATGTGAATGTTAGCTTCAGACCACTTTCCCCTAGGATATGGGTTTTAGACTCCAATATATTACTTGCATCCAAGGTTAATGTATGTTTTGTTGGTTTGTTTTTCCACCAAAGGCACATTTTCAGTGTTTGGTATTTCATACAGCACCTAAACAACAACTGTTCCGTTGGCAACATCCTACTAAAAGCTTGATAGAGCTTGTGCTGTTTGTTTTTTTTATTTGGTGATCTTCGATTTTTCAGTTTGCATTTTTTGTTTATCTGTACATGCACTATACAAGTTATTTTGCAACTGTTACATGATGTAGCAGAGGTAACAGAAATATTTGTTTATTTATAAATATCTGCTAAGTATTTTTAAACTGTACAATAGACATTATATCTTTTGATTGATACACTAGCAAAGTCAGTATTGTTTAATTTGTTTTTATTTTCTGTACATGATTTACGATACCCCAATTTCCGTTTGACTTGCAGGTACACCACAAATTAAAATAGACCTATTTCACAGTAAAGTAGCAAAAGGCACATTCCTACCAAGCAGCCTGACAAGAATCAATCATCTGAGTGATATCAGAGACCCTGTTTAATACATAAAGTACATCCATGTACATGCATATTGTACAAGCAATACCAACTTTATCATGTTATGCTTATTCTATTCTTCCACAATTTTTCTTCACATTAAAATGATTTGAAATCTCAACTCCAGGTATCCTTATCAACACAGCCAGTGTCAGAACAAAGGAATCTAGAGGGAGAAAATTTCTCCTTGATCACTCAAATTTCATATGTTGATATCCCTTGCACCTTCATTGTACATTTTATAATGATCTAATGACCGGAGAATCAAAATGGCTAACAGGAGGCCATATTGGACTTTAACAATTATGGGTTTTTTATCACTATTTCTTATTAAGTACAGGGTGGATTGCTCATAAAATTCCCCATTGCCTCTTGTTGTGCTAGTTCCTTTTGGAAACTGATCAGAAAGCAAAATCAATGCTATTATGGCTTTTGACTGTCAATGGCTTTAATTCATCAGTGTTTCTCAGAAAGTAGTTGTAGACTATGTGAGAGAGAAAAGAAAATTCACATAGATTTCTTAAGATTTGGGTAGTGCAAAACAAAATTCTTAACAAGTGACCTTCTTTGATTCTGACCAGTCAATTTTCATTATCAATGTTAGTTAGAAAGTTTTTAAATGGTCATTCATTCTGTGATTTTCAATGTTTCCTTTGTGTAATGATGTAACCAAATTCTAAATTCATCTGTCACAACAACAAATGATTAGAGAAAAAGAGGAAAATAGAATTGAGTCATTCAGTGCATGGATCCACAATTTTGATTTGAAAGTATAAATTTATTTCACTTCTACCTCTCTGTAAATGTGCGTTAAATTCTTTCTGAAAGCTCAAACAAAAGGGGAAAAAAAATTGAACTGATCCTTTCAATTGGTGTCTGCTACACAGCAGCTAAACAAATTTCCAGATATCACATAACAGAACACAGTCAAATACCAAATATGCAGCTACCTGTATTACTAAACACTGTTAAAAAAACTGGTGATGCCATTTATACCAGTGATAATTATACTGTTTATGATGAAACAGCGGTACATTGTATCAAGAGCAATCATGGATATCAGTTATAAAATAGAAAGTGCGCAGTGATCTTTAGGACTCCGATATTTAAGTCCTGGACTCCTTTTCCTGTTGGATATTCACTCATGACAAAATTCTGAAAATCCACTATTTCTCCTAGTAATTCGATCAGACTCATAAAAAAGTTTGGAAATTGTGTTCTGGACTTGCTTGAAAAAATCCTACAAAATTACCAAGGATAGTGGGATTTATCCATAGGAATACATATATGTATTAGTTTAATGAATGAGTCTGCCTCTTTACAAAATAATTTAAAAAGACAAATAAACTAAACAATTTAAGTAAACATAACTTTTAGAGCACAACATAAGATTATACCTCAGTTTACTGTTCATTTGTCTGAAAATGATGGAGACATTGTCATTTAGAATGATTTAGTCATGAAAAAGTAGCGCATTGAAGTATGAACTATTAATATGTTTATTTTTTTCTCAGGTACGTGAAGCAGCAAAGGTCTTGAGAACCTTTAGAAGAAAGAGACTACAAGTGAGGGTCATCCAGGTTTGTTGAGAAAAAACAACTTAGAAAAGACAGGTCTTTGCTTTAATTTTTAGCAGAATTTAATGACACAATCTCTTACTCTCTCTTTGATATTTTAGAGATCAATGAATATGTAAAAGTACAGTAGCCTGAAATACAATTATAAAAATAAGAGTTCCTCTACTTTGGATTTGTTGAGATGATTTGTCAGTTGTTTTATTTTCTAGATAACTTTCTAACTATTAATTATACCTCTTACTGAGAAGTAATTTTCAAAACTTCATATGCAGATTTTTTGATTTAGGAAGTTTCAAGTATATTTATTTTTGATTTACTGAAGGTACACTGTATGTTTAGCTCAGTGCATCAGTAGCACAAATTTTATGTACAAACTAATATCACACCTGATTAGTGATTATATTTCGATGTCCATAATTCAAGGCTTAATGATCCAAAGGCATTGCTATACACTTGACCACTTCTGAACAAAATGATGAGAGGGAGGGGTTACCCTATATCAATATTAATCCCAGCTTTGCTCACTTGTTTTTATCTTAGTCGATACATAATAAAATTCCATATAATGTATTATACACAAAAGTAGAGGAAATTTATGCAACAGTTATTGTTCAGAAAATTAAAGTAAATCACAGAAATTAAGTTAATAAAACAAGTTGATTACTATCACTGTGGATATTTCTCAGTTGCTTTCAAGGCTTTAAAATTTAGACTCTTAGCATCAAAGATGAGTCCTAGAAAGATGAAATTATTGTGTATTGCAGTTTGATTCATTGTTTGGCTCTACTGTATCTAACTCTAAAATATAAAAAAATGCTGTTCACTTTGGTGTCTTTTGTACAATTTTCTTGTTATGATGTGTATATTATAAATAATACATATAATAAATTCATCAGCAGTCTATGTCAACAGTTTTTTTAACATTTTTTAGCTCATCTTATAAATAAGCTTGTACTTTATGTTGCAGTGTCTGTGATTTTGAATTAAAGGGGTTCTTTAAAATCCATTATAGCAGGTGTTGCATTTGAGCAACTAAAACACTTTTCATTTTTCAATTTTCATCATTCTACACTGTAATTTTATTTAAAAAAATGGAATACAAATGTTTCATTTCCTAGCTCTGATAAAGTGTTTTTGTTTTTTTAGACCAGCTCCAAATTCAAGATGGCTGCTCATTGACTAAAACAGATCCATCTTCACTGACTACTAGCTGGTAAATTTTAACCTTTACAATGATGATAAGAGAAAAGTTGTCATATCCTGAAATGTTTTGTTAACTGTATTGTAGATTTGAACTGACCATGTATCCATATGTCACATCAACCTAGATATTATAAGAAAAATCTGAAACAGATGTCTTTTTTGCTGTTATCAAGTAAGGGTTTTCAAACTTCACAAAATTTAGAAGCCTTTAAAGCTATAATGATGTATATCAGTACTTAAAGTGTGCAGAAATCTTTCATATCACAACCATTGTTAAGTTTAGATTAACAATAAACAGTGGAGCAATACGAGGGTTTTCCATAATTTTGTTAGTAGTAGGCTGTGTAGTTAAAGTAGGAGGCAGGCCTGCTGTGTACGTGTAGTCGTGTACGGATTATTATTACGGAACTGGATTGGTGTAGGAAAATGTATGGAAAACCCTGCCAATACACTCATGTTAGACCTCTCCATATGATTTCCCTTTATAAGGTGAGGGCGGATGAAATTTAAAATGTTAAGCCTTCCTGTGTGAAAGGGTTGTACAAAAGACATTAACTTATATATAATATTGTTATATACAAATTTATTATTAGATGCATGCACAGTGTTTTTATGCCTAACATTGGTAGACAAGGAGTTATTTTTCTACCTGCTAGGACTGGTCATCGATGCAAGGGTCACTCAAAACAGACATTAAATGAAAGATGTGGAGACACATGTACACAAATATAAACATTCAATAAATTTGGTGAATCTTCAACAATGGGTAATTTTACAAAAAACCTCAATAGAATAAAAGTGAACTGCATCTTTGGTCTCAACCTTTCCAGGTTGGAAGGCTTATAATAGTCTAATGCATATGGTATCTCTTCAAAGGCTTAGGTTGAACTGGTTTTCAATAGGGAATAGAGTGATATCACGTTTGAAAATAACTAATTGTAAGGTTAGATTGGAACTATAAATGTCCCAATTCTGACAAAAAAGCATTATTATATTTCCTTAAACAAAGAATTAACACTTAAAAGAAAGTGTATTCACATAGTGAAGCTTCTGAAGAAAACACCTTCCATATCTTTGCATACTAAATATTGTACACCACTTCAATATGATTAACTTGCCGTACAACTTTTCCCATTTTAATTGCATGATTTTACACATGTTATTGAACTATATAGATTCTAATTTAATATTACTTACGGTATTACCAACAACCAAACTCATGATATCTTGTAACAGCTCTGTTTTGATGGTATGTAATTAGCATCTTCGTTGTTATGCAGGGACACATTATTCCTGATTGACAGTTTTTGAATTTATCTTTATAAATTTTTATTTTCAATCTCAATGTCCAACATAAATGCTTAGATTCAAGTTCATTGATGTTTAAAACTAAGTTATCAAATTTGTAAACACACTTGTTTCTTTTTTCAGGATGAATTCCGTGTTATATATGAAGTAGCAGGTCTGCAACTCTTCACAACATTTCTGAAAAAAGAAAGGAATCACCACACAAAATGGAGTGTACAGGTGGCACGGATATGGATATCAATAAAATCTACAGTGACTCAATGAACTTTCTTGTACAAGATCGTCAGAGGCTTCATGGACAATCCAAATTACCATTCTCCAGTGAAAAAGATTTCAGTAGAATCGGCATGGCGGAAAATTTCATGAATGGAAGGAGTAGCTCACCTATTGGCAGTGGGTTTGAATCTGACAAGTTTAAAAATGATGTTATGTTCAGTAGTGCTTCTATGCTGGAATCATCTGCAGAAGGATGTTCAACATCTGGTAGTAACAGTAAGATTACTACAAAACCCCTAATGTGCTCTGGTCATAACATGGTGTATTCCGAGGAGTTTGGACAGAAGGTGTCAACTGATTTACCAGTGACAGACATAAAAAAAGAACCTTCATCTGAAGAGGAGGAAGTCATGGGTACATACTATCGAACGAATTCACAAACAGTTTTTCCTGAAATGATGACCTCGCCTGTTAAAGGTGAAAGTGACCTTGGTATAAGCTCTGCACACTCGGAAACGTCCCAAGAAAACGTAAGTTATGTTATAAAACAGGAACCTTTGACGGACGATGATGATGTCAACGATAATGATGTAGGGAATGAAATGTTTGGAGATTTTTTGCTGAAAGGTAATGATGCAGATGATAGTACCAGTAATAGCATTACTGAACAAAATGAAGAAAATAAAAAAAAGCGGAAATCCTCCATGATTGAAACAACCCTAAGTGACAAAAGAGTGAAAAGAAAGTCTACAGCAAAATTATATAAGAAATTTGGTGATGAGTTTCACATGGACAAGATTGATCATCTTGATGAAGACAGTCACCCCAATGACTCTGAAGAAGAATACACACCGAGCATTTACATTGATCGTAAAGGTAATAAAATCAAGAGCATGGAAGATGAAAATAAAGAAATTGATGTGAAAACGCCATCAAATAAAGGGTTCTTGATTAAAAACATTGAAGGGAATATGTTGAACATAAAAGGGACTTCCAAGAACCTTCATGTTAAGATTTTTAAGTGTCCTGAATGTAATGACATCTTTACGTATGAAAGTGTTTTTAAAAAGCATATGAGAAAGCACACAGGTGACATGCCCTTTAAATGTAAACACTGTAAGCATGGCTTCATGACTCAGTTTAGTCATGACCTTCACAGTCGCGTACACACGCCAGACAGAAGCTACAAATGTGGGATTTGTGGAGAGAATATGAAATTAAAGAAAGAACTTAAAGAACACAATGCAATGCATGCACGTACAAAGAAAGCTCAACAAGAGGGTTCTTCGTCTGTTAAATCTGAACCAACAGAAAACTCAACTGGGACAAATGAAAACATGTCCGATGTAGGTTTATCACCATTTGGTTGCAGCATGTGTGTTTTCGTGGCAAGAGATTTTGCGGAAATTGGCAACCATGTGATGGAGTCTCATTTTGTTGACAAGCGTTGTTTTTGTGATATATGTAGTAGGCGATTTGCTAACACTGATGATCTGAAAGCTCACAAGGCTATACATGATGGTCAGTATGAAGAAATCAGTTGTGGTATCTGTGAGGAAATTGTGGACAGCAAAGACGACTTGATGAAGCATTTAGACATTCACCCTGAGGCTAAACCCTACAGGTGTTGTCATTGTGGCGATAGATTTATTGTATTACCACAGCTAAGAAATCATATGCAAACCCATTCCTTCACCAAACGCTACAACTGCCCACATTGTTTAAAACAGTTTTTCCATGAAGACACACTTGAGAGCCATCTACGCGTCCATACCGGTGAGATCTCGTACATCTGTCCTGTTTGTGACAAAGGTTTCCGAGCAAAAGACAGACTACGCATACACATGAGACAGCATCATTTGACTTATAGTTTGTTCGAAAATTACGAAAATGTGATAGCAGATAATGCAGGTGATTCACTCAAAGAATTACGAAACAAAGTCAATTTTAATGAAGACGACAGAAGTGGTCCTCAGGAAAACAGCACAGAATGCACAAATTCTTCAGAATCTGGAACCCAAGACAGAGGAGGAAAACTTCAGAGTGAAAATTATAATTCACATCTTGAAGAACATAGACGTTTTATACAAAAAAAGATAGATCCAGATACTGAGGAAATAGCCGGTGAATCGGACGCTACTTGTAGAGATAATATGAATGGTATTTGTAGCGAAATGATCAACAGTTCTAATTCTGCTGTCTTTGAGAAGCTAAGAAGACAAGGAGGACTAGATGGGTCTAAAGTATCGTCCAGCGGGACAGATGGTACAGGGACACCTTTTTGTATCTCGGTGAAAAAACTGACAAAGGTGCCTATATCCAACCAACCTTGTGAAAGTACAAATACGAAGCAAATAAATGCAAACTTGCAATTCGCAGAAATGGAAAACACTATGAAGCTACAGATGAACATTTACCAGTGCAAAATATGTGGTGCTATGTTTGCGTACAATAACATGTTAAGAAAACATATGAAGAAACACACAGGGGACGAACCATACAGATGTGATGTTTGTGGACATGGTTATATGTCATCATCTGCCTTGAAAGCACACAAGATGGTGCACTCTGGTGAACGGCCGTACGCATGTGAAAAGTGTCCGAAGGCATTTCGACAAAAGAGTAGTCTCAAATCCCATTTACACTTACATGAAACACAGAAAGTTATTGAGCATATTCTTAGTAAGAGAACAGATAAAGAGGCAGGCTTGCTGCAGCAGCGTGATGCCTTTGGTTGTAGTATATGTGACTCAACTTTTAGTGATGTGCCAAGTATCTCAAGTCATATTAACAAAGTTCACTTTAAGGAACTATATCATGCTTGCGATGTATGTAGCAAACGATTTGATTCAATGCAGAGTCTAGAAGAACATCAGACAGCACATGTCGACTCGAAGAATTACGCTTGTGGAATATGTGGTCGCGATTTCAGCGAGGAAGATGAACTTAGTGACCACTTAAACGAGCATCCTACTGCTAAGCCATTTAAGTGTCAAGTTTGTTATACACAGTTCATTTCATTAACTGTCTTTGCCACACACATGGATATTCATTTAGCAGATAAAAGCGTGGTGGACACAACTAACCAGCTTTCAAACAAGGAACAGCCAAGCAAACAATTCCCGTGCAAATACTGCGACCGGGTGTTTTCTACTTCAGTACAGAGATGGGCACATTCAGCAGTGCATGAAAAAGCACGACCCTACAGCTGCTCAATATGTGGAAAGAAATACGTTAACAAGGGTAGCCTGACTAGTCATGAAGAGAGCCATGAAAAAGGAAAAGGGAAACGTTCACCCAGGTTAGATAAGACGAAAAAGAAGACATCTACGTTACCTAAGTTGAAGACAAGGACAAACAGTTCAGAGGAATCGTCTGATTTGTTAAAAGGGAATCAAACACTGTTAGATTTTGGTGAAGATTCGGGAAATATCGGTGATGATGTAGATGTACCAGATGCGCTGGATGAAAGTTATGAATGTGAGAGATTAGAGCACGAAGACTTTGGCAAAGAACATATTATAAAAACAGAACCCATTTCTACTGGATACTGTGACGAGGAACTAAACATTGGCCTGCTAACAGAACCCCAGTCTACTGAACGCTGTGAGACAGAGGCAGATGTTGGCCACAAAACAGAATCTCTTACAACTGAATATTATAACATGGAGTCGAACATTGGCTCACAAACAGAACAAATTTCTACTGGATACTGTGAATCAAATACTATTGAGTTTAAAACAGAACCCCTATCCCCTGAATCCTGTGACATAGAGTCAGACATTGGCCTCAAAATGGAGCCTATTTCTACAGGATATTATGACATGAAGACAGACATTGGTGAGGTCAACTTATCGCTGCAAGATCAGGAAAGCTTTAGTGGGTTACACACAAGCACAGATGAGTCAATTATGGTTAAAACGGCATCTTTTGAAAATCAGATGGAAGTTAAAACTGAGCAAGACGACGATTCTCTCGCGACAAAGCCGAAATATGGGTGTATAATCTGTGGCAAGAATTATATGAATCAACAAAGTTTAAACAACCATGAAAAATGTCACTCAGTTGTAGTATCAGAGCCGGTAGTATCTGAGCCGGTAGAATTAATATGCACAGAGTGTGGGGCCGATTTCTGGAAAAAATCTGATCTAAACAAACACATACGTAGACATCACAACGAAACAAGTAAACCGTCGTTCAGGTCCAAACTGAAAAAAGTTAAAAACAAAAACAATACCATTCAAAATGCCTAGTTTTTCATTGATTTGGCTGTCAAATATAGAAAACAATGACTGAGGTTCATCAATTGTGACTGTGATATAACATGTATACCATCACGATTGTGGACTGAGTTCTGATTTCACTTCACTTACTTACATTTAGATCTAAAAGTAATAATATTTGGTATGCATCCCGATCGGATGTTTAGTTATTCAAGGTGATTTAAGAGGGTAATATGCTTATATATGTATCCATTTCAGAAATGATGAGTTGTATGATGACAGCTTAACCGTGATTTGTGTTAACATACAAATGTTTTTTTTTCTGGCGAGTAAAGTTTTTTTTTTATTACATCTTATAGGTTAATAAAAAATTATTACATTTATAAGCGGACAAGAGACAGTTTTTTGAATCTACTAAATGTAATTTCCATTAGAAACCCTGTCTATTTCTTGAAATAAAAAAAGTTATTATTTATACCATATTAAACTTTTAACTTCGGTGCATGTTATTAGTTCCTGTTTAATAGTAGGTTTCCATAGTGATGACGAATGTTGTTAATTTCAACGAAATGTAAAATAAAGATAAATAATTCTATTTAAATAGTTCCCATATTCGGAAATGCATTCCAAACTGGCGTTTTTCGATCAAAACCTAAGCTGTCCTTTTTGTCCAATTAGCTGACTTGTCGGGGTTAAAAGATCGAACTAAAAAGAAACGAAACTTGACATCTAGTTGATGTCTAATTTAATGGCTGGAATTCTACATTTGACCTCACTTTTTTTATAACAGATAATAGATAAAGAAACCTTGACCAATTATTGTTCAGATAAATGTACTTCTGACTAGGCATACGGGAACAGGACTTTTCATATCTTGTGATTGTGTCAAGCCTTTTAATAGTAGTTATATATTTCAATTAAATGTACTGCCAATGTAGAAAATGCAAGAGTTTTATTTCATTCCTCTTACATATGTTTATATTTAATTCATACACTTAGACATTTTCAATCTCATTTTATAGTTTAGCACCACATTAAAATATATAACAATGTTGTATGATTTATCGTTTATTTTCAAGAGTTGCGTCCCTTAGTACAACACCATAAAATTTTACAGAATTGCAAAACATAAGTATAGTAAAATGATAAACTTTGAAAATATTTAATTCATTATTACCAGCTCGCTTCGATTGTTTGTGATTTCGAAAATCTGTTTATGGTTTTATAACTTTATAAATCATACTGTTAGTGGCCGTAACTGTGGTGAAACATCATTGGTTGCCGTTAACGCTATTTGAACACAACCTTTGTTATTGACATCAACTGCCGGTAAGTTGTATGAATTAAAATAAAAGGTAATGCTTTAGTTTTTAGAGAATGTGCTTTATAAACGACAACCTAGGGGAGTAGCGTCTTATATTTAGACACATTGTCAGCAGATAGACCTAGGAGGGGGGGATAAAGAATATACATGTAAATTGATACATAGTAAAATCAGTTGTCAAATTGTCATATCAAATTCAAATGTAAAGAACTGTATGCAGGACTCAATCGACAAATTACAACTGGAAAAAAAATAAAGACTTTCATATATATTAATTGAAAATAACTGACCGTTGAAAACGAAATACTATGTTTGTCAGCGTTGTCGGTTGTAGCACGATGGACTTTAATTTGAAGCTGTGAATAACAGTAAAATAAATACTGATGAAAGGAAACAAAAAAGACCAGAAGTTGCTGTCTTTTTGTGTGTGTGTGCAGCTGGCTCTGATGCAAAGACGAGACAAAAATCGTAAATATTTTCCCGATAGAATAGACAAAGCAAGGTTCAAGATGACGGTGTATCTGGCACCATCAGGCACTTGTCATGACTACAAAATGTGATAATATCAATGATTTATTGATTAACAGAAAGTCTTCGGTTTGAATCCTTCACATTATATGGGTCGTGCATTTTTCGATTTGAACTTTTGATATCATTTTCGCTATAAACGTTGCAAGTTTAACGAAATAAAGTGAGTGATGTGTAGTCGTATAATCGCTTTATTTGATTGTATATTGTGTTTTCGCATTATTTCCGACCATTTCATCGGGTTTACAACAGTATATAAATTTTCTCTTGCATGCATTAGATTTTAAACAGCTTTTAACAACAGCATTCTCTCGCTCACAAACCTTGAAATAACTTTAATGTCAGTTCATTATTTGTCGTAATCGATCTTAATTGTCAGTTCAATATTTGTCTTCAGCAATCCTAATGTCAGTTCAAAAGTGGTCTTCATCATTCCTGATTGTCAGTTCAATATTAGTTATCGACAATCTTAATTGTCAGTTCAATATTAGTTATCGACAATCTTAATTGTCAGTTCAATGTTGGTCATCAACAATCTGAATTGTCAGTGCAATTAGTGGTCATCAATATTTTAATTGTCAGTGTAAAAGTGGACATCGACACTTAAATGTCAGTTCAATTATTGGTCATCGACAATTTTAATCGTCAGTTCACTATTGGCCATCGACAATTTTAATTGTCACTTCACTATATATTTTTATCGTAATTGCTGGTTTACTTTTGATCTTACTATCTACTGTCAGTTAAAACCTGGTCTTAATCTTCATTGTAAGTTCAATATTGGTGTTGATTTGTTATTATTGTCAGTTCAATATTTGTCCTAATTTCCTCTAACACCACTAAATATTATACTGACAGTTTCGGTCACGCAGCCAATAGTTGTCATATATAAGATGTCAGTTTTACATCACCACATCATATTTGTTTGTACAGGTAACAGGACGAAAACATTCTACATACTAAAATATCAAATAATAATTCTCACAGAAATATCAAGTAATGATACTCACAGAAATATCAAGTAATGATACAGAAATATCAAATAACGATACTCACAGAAATATCAAGTAATGATACTCACAGAAATATCAAGTAATGATACTCACAGAAATATCAAGTAATGATACAGAAATATCAAGTAACGATACTCACAGAAATATCAAGTAATGATACTCACAGAAATATCAAGTAATGATACTCACAGAAATACCAAGTAACGATACTCACAGAAATATCAAGATACTCACAGAAATATCAAATAATGATACAGAAATATCAAGTAATGATACTCACAGAAATATCAAGTAATGATACTCTACAGAAATATCAAGTAATGATACTCACAGAAATATCAAGTAATGATACTACAGAAATATCAAATAATGATACAGAAATATCAAGTAATGATAACAGAAATATCAAGTAATGATACTCACAGAAATATCAAGTAAATGAAATATCAAGTAATGATATCACAGAAATATCAAGTAATGATACTCACAGAAATATCAAGTAATGATACTCACAGAAATATCAAGTAATGCAGAAATATCAAGTAATGATACTCACAGAAATATCAAGTAATGATACAGAAAATATCACAGAAATATCAATAATGATACTCACAGAAATATCAAGTAATGATACTCACAGAAATATCAAGTAATGATACAGAAATATCAAGTAATGATACAGAAATGTCAAGTAATGATACTCACAGAAATATCAAGTAATGATACTCACAGAAATATCAAGATAAATACAGAAATATCAATAATAATGATACTGATACTCACAGAAATATCAAGTAATGATACTCACAGAAATATCAAGTAATGATACTCACAGAAATATCAAGTAATGATACTCACAGAAATATCAAGTAATGATACTCACAGAAATATCAAGTAATGATACTCACAGAAAAATATCAGGTAATGATACTCACAGAAATATCAAGTAATGATACTCACAGAAATATCAAGTAATGATACTCACAGAAATATCAAGTAATGATACTCACAGAAATATCAAGTAATGATACTCACAGAAATATCAAGTAATGATACTCACAGAAATATCAAGTAATGATACTCAGAAACAGAAATACTCACAGAAATATCAAGTAATGATACTCACAGAAAAATATCAAATAATGATACTCACAGAAATATCAAGTAATGATACTCACACAAATATCAAGTAATGATACTCACACAAATATCAAGTGACGATACTCACAGAAATATCAAGTAATGATACTCACAGAAATACTAGTAATGATACTCACAGAAATACCAAATAATGATACTCACAGAAATATCAAGTAATGATACTCACAGAAATATCAAGTAATGATACTCACAGAAATATCAAGTAATGATACTCACAGAAATACAAGTAATGATACTCACAGAAATATCAAGTAACGATACTCACAGAAATATCAAGTAATGATACTCACAGAAATATCAAGTAATGATACTCACAGAAATATCAAGTAATGATACTCACAGAAGTATGATACTCACAGAAAAGTAATGATACTCACAGAAATATCAAGTAATGATACTCACAGTAATGAACTCACAGAAATATCAAGTAATGATACTCACAGAAATATCAAGTATACTCACAGAAATACTCACAGAAATATCAAGTAATGATACTCACAGAAATATCAAGTAATGATACTCACAGAAATATCAAGTAATGATACTCACAGAAATATCAAGTAATGATACTCACAGAAATATCAAGTAATGATACTCACAGAAATGTCAAGTAATGATACAGAAATGTCAAGTAATGATACTCACAGAAATACTAGTAATGATACTCACAGAAATACAGAAATACTCACAGAAATATCAATACTCACAGAAATGTCAAGTAACGATAGTCACAGAAATATCAAGTAATGATACTCACAGAAATATCAAGTAATGATACTCACAGAAATATCAAGTAATGATACTCACAGAAATACCAAGTAATGATACTCACAGAAATATCAAGTAACGATACTCACAGAAATGTCAAGTAATGATACTCACAGAAATATCAAATAACGATACTCACAGAAATATCAAGTAACGATACTCACAGAAATATCAAGTAATGATACTCACAGAAATATCAAGTAATGATACTCGCAGAAATATCAAGTAATGATACTCAAAGAAATGTCAAGTAATATTTCACACAAAGATGTCAAGTAATATTTCATATAGAGATGTCAAGTAACATTTCACTCAGAGATGTCAAGTAATATTTCACACAGAGATATCAAGTAAAGCTACACATAGGAACAGGTAACACCACACACAAAAATATAAGGTAACACCACACACAGAAACATTAGGTAACACTACACAAAGAAATAGGTACCGCTACACACAGAAATATTAGGTAACACTACACACAAAAACATTAGGTACCGCTACCCAAAGAAATATTAGGTACCTCTACACACAGCAAAATTAGGTAACATTACACACAGAAATATTAGGTAACACCACACACAGAAACATTAGTTAACACCACGCACAGAAATATTAGGTAACACTCCACACAGAAATATAAGGTAACACCACACACAGAAATATTAGGTAACACCACACACAGAAACATTAGGTAACACCACGCACAGAAATATTAGGTAACACCACACACAGAAACATTAGGTAACACCATACACAGAAATATTATTTAACACTACACACAGAAATATTATTGAACACTACACACAGAAATATTAGGTAACACCACACACAGAAACATTAGGTAACACTACACACAGAAACATTATTTAACACTACACACAGAAATATCATTTAACACTACACACAGAAATATTATTTAACACTACACACAGAAACATTAAGTAACACTACACACAGAAATATTATTTAACACTACACACAGAAATATTATTTAACACTACACACAGAAATATTATTAAACACTACACACAGAAATATTATTTAACACTACACACAGAAACATTAAGTAACACTACACACAGAAATATTAGGTAACACCACACATAGAAATATTATTCAACACTACACACAGAAATATTATTTAACACTACACACAGAAATATTATTTAACACTACACACAGAAACATTAGGTAATTCTACAGACAGAAATGTTATTTAACACTACACAAAGAAATATTATTTAACACTACACACAGAAATATTAGGTTACACCACACACAGAAATATTATTTAACACTACACACAGAAATATTAGGTAACACCACACACAGAAATATTATTAAACACTACACACAGAAATATAAGGTAACACCACACACAGAAATATTATTTAACACTACACACAGAAATATTAGGTAACACTACACACAGAAATGCTAGGTAACATCACGCCAGAAATACTAGGTAACATCACACACATAAATATTATTTAACACTACACACAGAAATATTATCTAACACTACACAGAAATATTAGGTAACACTACACATAGAAATGCTAGGTAACACCACGCCAGAAATATTAGTTAACATCACACACAGAAATATTATTTAACACTACACACAGAAATATTATTTAACAATACACACAAAAATATTTGGTAACACTACACACAGAAATGCTTGGTAACATAACGCCAGAAATATTAGGTAACACCACATACATAAATATTATTTAACACTACACACAGAAATATTATCTAACACTACACAGAAATATTAGGTAACACCACACCAGAAATATTAGGTAACATCACACACAGAAATATTATTTAACACTACACACAGAAATATTATTTAACACTACACAGAAATATTAGGTAACACCACACACAGAAATATTATTTAACACTACACACAGAAATATAAGGTAACACCACACACAGAAATATTATTTAACACTACACACAGAAATATAAGGTAACACCACACACAGAAATATTATTTAACACTACACACAGAAATATTTGGTAACACTACACACAGAAATGCTAGGTAACATCACGCCAGAAATATTAGGTAACATCACACACATAAATATTATTTAACACTACACACAGAAATATTATTTAACACTACACAGAAATATTAGGTAACACTACACATAGAAATGCTAGGTAACACCAC